ATGAGATCCCAGACCGTACAACTCCTATTTCTCCAGGCCGTACAATCCTTAATAAAAAAGGAAAAAAGGATTAGGACATCTGTTTCTGAAAGAAAATAGTCTTACTTCTCCTGTAGGTCTCTATCACTGAGACTTTACCATTAGCATTAAGACAAGAAGACAGAAAGTTGGCAGAGAAATGTTCGCAGTTTTTTTGAGCTCCTTACTTATTGCTATAAATACAAATGTAAAAACAAAATATTCCAAGTGCTACGTGACAAAATACTTTCTACAATGATTTTAACTTTTTAATAGAACTTTTAAGATGATTGCAGAGGTATGACATTTGATTACCCAGAAAAATCAAAGAATAGGGCTGGGGGTGTGGCTCAGTGGTATACTGCTTGTTTAACACCCACAAGGCCATGTTCAATCCCCAGCACTGAACAAAAGAAAAGGTATGGAAATTAGAAATTATTTTATCCTGAAAAAATGGTTGTTATCACTAACTATAAAATTTTCTATGTAAAGTTGACTGATGCCAGAGACCCACCCCAGGCCACCCAAACAATTCCTGGGGGTGAGGCATAGGTCCTTTCTTTTAAAAGAAGCTCCCAGGAATCTTTCATATGACACCACAATTAACAACTATTGCCTTGGAAGAGCACAGAACCAAGGAAGTACTTCATACTCTAAAATTACATGTTATTTAGGAGACTAACAAAATCTTATTTACTTTCTAGATTATAGTAACTCTAGATTAATTCAAACTAAGTAAAATGGAACAATTTTATACTAGTTATTTATAAGTAGCAATCTTACGTTTAAAGTATGGGAATGATATTGTGTATATTAAATGAACCATAATTCCAGTTGCAACTTTTTTAAAAAATTGGCCAAAATAAGAAACAAAAGGCTCTAAAACTAGTAGGGTGATTAGGGATGGGAAAGAGGAAGAATACAGTATTTTCTGATATCTTTAAAAAAAAAAAAAAGTATTTAGAAAACCAGGCCTGGTGCACACAGAGCCTTGGGAGGCTGAAGCAGGAAGATTCAAGTTTGACATTAGCCTCAGCAATTCAGCAAGACCCTGCCTCAAAACAAAAAACAAAAAGGGTTGGGGATGTAGCTTTCCCATATCAAGAAGGGGGGAGGGGGAAAAACACTAGAAATTTCTCATATTCCGTTATATTTACTTTCATAATATCTAAAAATGATACAGAAATTTCAAATCTGAAAATGTTTGACGAAATTCTGCATAAATTCTTGATATTGGCTTATGAAATCCACAGAGAATGTTAAAGAGGAGAAATAGACATTGTTGATGATAAAGAAAGAGCAGTTATTCTCTAGAAACCTTTAACAGAATGGGCAAATGTCAGTTTGGGGCCTCCTGCCAGTTGGCAGACACAGCCAGGCTTCTCCACCTCTAACCCCCATCTAAACAACATTGTGGGATGCCTGATAAGCCACAGCATTAGGCCAACAACAATGCTAATAGCAGTGAGTACAAACTGCTAATGGACCTTTACAAAAAAAAAAATAAGAACCCTGTGAAGAAAAAGATTCTTTTTAGTCCATTAAAAAGAAAAGGGGGGAAAAAAAAAACATAAAAACTGAATTTCTGACAGGGAAAAAAAAAAAAGTTCCTCAAAGAATCAGAGAAAGTTGAAAAGGACAATGCTAGTATAGACCTGGAATACAGTACAGACAAGAGTGATTATAACTTCTGAATATAAGTGAAACAAAACTTTCTTTGCCAAGGAATTACAGTTCCATGAACACATAATCCACATAACCATGAAATTCTTTGCTACTATTGCCTAGAGTTTTCCAGAAGAAATAAAACATCCATGTATAATGGATTTGTAACTAGGGAAAAACTGAATTAGAAAAATTTCAAAAATAACTGACTTAACACTATAAACACTTTTCCTCCAAATAAGACCAAGAAAAAAGTGAAATTCCTATTAAAAAAGGAAAGCAGAATGTAAGTAAAATCAATTAATAATCCTGAAACTGCTTGCTTCTAACACCACTTCTTCCTCCACTCTCCCTAAGCAGGTTTTTTTTTTTTTTTTTTTTTTTTAAGAGAGAGAGAGAGAGAGAATTTTATTTATTTTTTAGTTTTTCGGCAGACACAACATCTTTGTTTGTATGTGGTGCTGAGGATCGAACCTGGGCCGCACACATGCCAGGCTAGTGCACTACCGCTTGAGCCACATCCCCAGCCCCCCAAGCAGGTTTAAGAAGCAACATCCTTCCTTTTCTAGGAAGAATAAATACTATTCAGATTACTTCCCACAGTTACTATTACTATACTACTATATGTAAGGCTGTATGTTAGTGCTCCCCAGTCTCTCTCTTAACCCTGTGACTAATGTTTATTATTTTCATTTCCATTTTAGAGATGAGGAAAAAATTTAAACTTAGGATACATAACTAGCAAGTAGTATAACACGGAGATCAAAAAAGGCAGGTCTTGGGCTGGGGTTGAGGTTCAGTGGTAAAGCGCTTGCTTAGCATGTGTGAAGCACTGGGTTCCATCCTCATAAAAAAAAAAGTTAAAAAACAAAACAAAACAAACAAACAAACAAAACAACTAGCAGGTCTCACTCCATAGCCTATACTGGTTACTATAAACTGGAGCAGTAGTTTTGTTAGATCTCTCCTCTCAAAGGACTGATATTCACATGCTCTGTGAATAAAACAGAAAGGGAGCACAGAAGTACTTTATAATTTATCTAGCTAAGAGCACCTGCACTGCTTTTTTAAAACAAGATGGGGGGGGGGAGAGGAATCTGCAGTCATTTAAGACCCCAACTCTTTTCTGGTCTGTTATTACTAAGATGGACAAGTTGGTCAAGCACCACCTACGGACCATAGTAAATAAATCACTTTGGTTCAGTGGTAGGGAGGGCATTATGCAATATTTCCCAGCATAGCCCTGACCAGGATTATTTTACGACCAAGACACTTGGGCCCCTCCTCCCCAGCTAGACAGCCTGGCTCCTTTGCATTCCCCTCAGGAGATAGGGTGGAAGCACATAACTCCACTTTCTGAGGCATAGAGGGCAGCTGAAAGTCCTGCTTGGCCTCTATGGGCAACCACAGGCGCCAATAAATCAGCCACAGGCGATTCTCTCATCCCCTTCCTGGCTTGAATTGGGAGCAACATATAATGCAAAAGAGTACAGACTAGACTTGGAAGATAAGGGATCTAGGTTGAAATTCCTCCGTAAATGACTTTATCATCATAGGTAAATCTCTCTGAGCCCATTTCCTCAGAGTTTTAACACATTTATAACATGGAGACAGTATTTTCTTCTTCTTGGGAAGAATTCAGAATTCATCTTTGAAAGCAGCTGGTATGGGACCTGACCCACTAAATGTACTCAATAAACCTAACTTGAGCAGGATCCATCTCAGCTATATCCAAAAAAAAGACATTCAGGATAGGACTGGGCAAAAAGATATAGCAGGTAAGGTGGGGTCCCTTCCAACTTTCTTGTTAACCATCCCTTGATGTTTTATTGCCTCTTGGTTTCATACCAGTCATCAGAACTAACTTATTTCATGTCATTAGTATTCTGTCCCATAATGGATTCATAGTTTATCCTTAACTAACACATTCAGACTCCTAGAGGCTTTGATGCCCAAACCTAAAAACCAACCCATGCCACAAGGTTGTAGTTCTTGCAGAGAATAGAGCTAAAGGGTTTTGTTGTTTTTTGGTTTTGGTGAGAGGTATTGGGAGGGAGAATGGGCTTTTGGCCCCAAAGCACATCACCTGCTGCCTAACCCGCCTAGAAACGGTGCTATCTCCCTACTGCAGAGCCATCACATACTGGCCAAGACTGATTTCTTAATAAACCTGAGAAATCCTACAAGCCAAGTGTAATCTCCTTTGGTTGATACATACAGAGCAGGTTAAACTGGCACAGCAGTCCTGGCATGGTGGAGGATGCAATGTCCGAATGTCTGTAACTATGAACTCCAGCTGAGAGATGGAGGCCCTAGATCAAGCAGATCGAGAAACACCATGCCCTTTAGGCTTGGTGTCCTTGTAAATATCTGGTTTTTGTTTTCTTATTTTGCTGTACTGGGGATGGAACCCAGAGCCTCGTGCATGGTAGACAAGCGCTCTACTACTGAAGCCCTGAACTGAGTTTTATGTAAGGCTTCTCAGCTCAAACGTTTGAGATTATGAAATGTCCTTCACATACTTGACAGAATCCTGAGTGAATCAACAGTTCTGCCAAAAGGACTTGAGTCTAAAGAGAAAGAATACCAAATTTAACCCCTTGCAGGGAAATACAAAGGTTAACTTATAAAACACGTTAGCTACTGCCAGGTTCTAGGTACAGCGCTGCTCGCTGCCCAGGAATTGATTAGCGCTTGATTTCTCCAAGTAAGTGCTAGGGAGACGCTGATAAGATGGGGCCAACTTCAAAGAGAAAAACTGAATTTGCTTAGAATGACGTAAACATTTTAAAGAGAGAGAGAGAGAGAGAAATTACTGGGTTTAGGGACCTAGCTTTCTGCCCTTGAAACTGGGTACTCACAAACTGGGATGGGGAGGAGATATTGGCCGCTGCGTCCGCGCAGCTGCACCTGCAGACCCTCCCGCTTATAAGATGGGTGGGCCCAGTTGCGGGGGGGGGGGGGGGGGGGGGGGGCAGACGCGTCATGAGTATCGGGGCTTCAGGCGCGGGGTCGCACCCAGGCCCTCAGCAGGGAGGGTTCCAGGCCTGCGCGGTGCGACCGCGCGCCACACCCGCCTGCGTCAGGCCCCAGCCGTGGCACCAAAGGGCAGCTCTGGTCATCCACCCAGCGCTCATTCAAGGTTGCCATTTTCCTCCTGCGCCCTGAATGACATCTCAAACAGATCAAAAACACCCCTCTCCCCAGCTACTTGCATCTGTCTCACGGCCGATGCAGCTGCAGCCACAGCCCCGGTGGCTAGTGGAGGGAGGGACTGAACCCAGAGCAGCCCACAGGGGCTGGGCCGCGACGCTTACCCAGACGCCGCCGCGGCGGCGGGCTGGCTTCTCTATGCGGGAGGGGCGGGCTCCGCGCCGCGCACTGCACGCGGCAGCGCCGACTCACGCACTCGGTGCCGGGCTCTCGCGCGGCTTCCCGCGTCGGCCGCCGCGCGATGGGCCCACGTGATCGTGCGCCTAGTTTCTGGGGAACCAGCGACGAGGGGGCCGGGTGTGCGTGCTTGCGTGCGTACGTGTGCGCCCGCCCGCCCGCCTAAGTGGCCAGACGGGGGTCGGCCCGCGCTCTGGGTGCCGCCACGGTCCCCAGTCCTGACTCTGTTAGCGGAAGCGTGGGGCTAAGCCTGAGCGTCACAGGCTCCCCACATACAACCGCGTGACCTGGGGACTTTCCCCAGGGTGTGCAAAAGCACGGACACCCCCGCAGTTCTGAGGCCGGGGTGGGGGCGGGGAAGATGTGCCCGCGGGTGAGGACGCGGGGACAGCCAGGCCGAACCGCGGGAGCCTGGGAGGCGAGGCGGTCTGGACGGGGTGGAGCATGGCGGGGGAAGTGACTCAAGGCCAGTGGCGGACAGGCCCAATGAAGGCAGGGTGGGGGGAACGCGGGGAATGGGCGTCCCAGAGCGGATGAACCGCGGACAGGATGGGGCGAGGGTACCGGCGCCCCCAGAACGCTCGGGCATACCGCGAGGGAGAGGGCCCAGCAGCTGGGCCCTGCTGGGCGGGGGTCTAACATCTGGGACGAATGGTAAAGCATCATCCTGCCCTTGGGGAGTCGGGAGGAACCCAGTCCCATCCAGCTGTGCAAACAGAAGGAGGTCCCAAGCCTACCCTTGGGAGAGGGGCGAGAGGGGTGGTCAAGCCGCCGCCACGACGGCCCCCGCTGTGCGGGTTGTGCCAGCCTCCTCGGAGCCCGACGCAGTAACTTGTTGCAACAAACAGGCGACCGCGGGTGCCCCTAGCAGCCAGCGGCGGAGTGGGTGGGCGGGCGAGAGGGAGGGGAAGGCTGGCGGACGCCGCAGCGAACTGGTGGGCAGACCCGGAGTCGCCGCGTAAGCGGGGCCGGCTCAGTGCGGTGCGGCAGGCGCGGCTGTGCGGCAGCGGAAGTCCTTTGTTGCAGCACAGTCCCTGGCAGAGCCAGAGTCTCTCCGCGCAGCCCAGCCCGAGCTCAGCGCGCCGCCGCCACTGCAGCTCGCGGCCCCTTCGCCTCCGCCCGCCTTTCCCGCGGCTGATTTGCCTTAAACTCCCTAAAATCTCCGCAGCCCGGGTTCCTGCTGCGGCGGGTGAGTATTTGCCAGTTGTGGGGCTATTTGCGCAACTTTGGCCCGGGCCTGAGGGCGGCGGGCCGCGGGCCTGGCGGAGTGCGGGGCCAGAGGGGCGCCGACCCGTGCGGGAAGCCGGAGCAAGGCGGAGGCGCTGGGAGGAACTGGAGACCGGCGGCTGCTGGGCCGCCTGCTCTACGTCGGCGCTCCAGGTCCCGAGCGTGCGGCCTCCCTGGGTGGGAGGCGAAGCCCGGGTGGAGAGTAGTTACCAAATAGTTATCATCTTTTCCCTTTCTTTCTCTGCCTTTATTTTATTTTTTTAAGGGGGGAGGGGAGGTGTAGACGGGAGGCGGGAGGACCAGGTTGATTGACGGGCCCAGGGCCCGCTTCTCTCAACTTACAGCTGCGGCTCCTCGGCGGGTGGGAGGGGAAGTGTCCCGGAGCCCGAGGCCGCAGACTTGGGCGCGCTCCGAGGGAGGAGGCATAAGAGCCTTGCAAATTCTCCTACGCGCCTTCCCACCCGCTCTCGCCGGCACACACGCTTTTTTGTTCAGTAAAAAGTGGTAGGTCTGGGTATCGGGAATTTTCAGTGGGAAAGATCTTCTGTTTCTTGGGAAGAAAGTGGTGGCCTCCAGTGGTGGCCGCTTACTAGAAGTTCGGTTAGTTTCGGTGAATGTGTTGTTGGCTGTAGATCCGGAGTTGTTACCACTGGAGTGTGTAGGCATGGGTCTGACTGAGCTCCGCTCCGTCTCCCTTTCCACCTAAGCAACGCGTCCACATGATCTGAACGGTTGACAAGACGTTTTCCTAGTTGGGCGCGTCTGGAAGAGGTTGATAAAAGTCGTTGTTTTCAGTGCTTTAAGGCATTTGTTTGTCGTGATAATGTTCCTAAGTCGAGTTTCAGCGTACATGCAGTTTCAGGTACATGCAGATTCTGCGTTGGCCAAAGTGTATTTTCATACCGTGTTACGACGGGAACAATTTTCCCATTGATACTCGAACCCAAAGGAGCGGTCCGAGGCTTTTTGAGGCAACTTAGAATCAATTTCTTGAGTGAAGGTCGAGGCACTCTAAGGCAAATTTGTTGAAGGTTGCAATATGACAACTTCAAAGCACTCATGATTTGCTTTGAAACGAAGAAATTAGATTCTGTGGAATCTTATTGGTAAAATTGGACATGATGTGGAGAAACGGGAGATTTGTAGATACAGGAAGATGAAGCCTGACTGATGGCAAGCCATCATTTGCTCAGAATTAAAACTTTTATTTTGAATCACTTGCTAAGTATCTAAGTCTCAGTAAAACTGAATAGCTTTGAGAGCCAGATGGGGCATCCTCCTCTTACACAGAAGAAACTGAAGCATAGTGGAGGTGAAATGCTTTTCTCCAAAGGTTAATAAACAGAAAATCTACAGGAAGCCTTCAGTTAACACACTGATTTTTATAGTAGGATTTCTTCATTAAGACCAAATTTTCCTGCTATTCAGTAACTCAGGCCCCGCAGTCTATTTCTTTCCACCTCTAACATGATGGCTACTCTTTAGGTGTTTTTTTGAGGGGTGAGGAGGCTAGTGCATCATTGTCAGAGAAGAGAAACCATGTTTTAACCAGGACTATAGCGGGGCATGAGCACAGTCACAGCCATTTGCTATTGACCTTGTGTTTTGATTTCACTTTAACACTGCTTATTTTTGTACTGCTTCCTCATTCTCCTCTTTTGCCAGGCTATGGGGAAGATAGTGGACCTTTTTCAAAGTGTCTCCATGTTCTTTGCAGCACCATTTCTCTCTTTAAATGTGCAGGAGAAAAGAAGTGCCTGCTTTCAGGCCTGTCCTTCTCTGGCCAGGAAAGACATTAAGTCTTCACTGTTGACCTTCTGGCCCAAAGGGGAAAAAACCATTTGGGACAGAAATTCAGAAATTTTTCCTTAGGTTTTTACTTTTTATGCTACAGTCTTTCCCCCAAATCAAGGTATATTTGAGAAACATCTCCTTGAGAGGTCATTTTGGTCTCTATCAGATGTTTTCTCTTGATATTTTCTTCTTGTGCCAGTACCTTTTATGATAGATTGCTTTGTAATTTTTCTTATATTCTAATGTGAACCAAGTCAAGTGTTATTCATGTCTATTTTTTCCTCAAAATGGAAATACTTTTTTAAAATTATAAAATACATACTCTTTGTAAACATTCGATCTATGCTGAAATACATAAAATAAAAAAATGAAAGTCATTCTGACTCCCACTCCTCAGAGATAATCACCAGGAACAGTCAATTCCTTGTTTTAAAAAGGAAAGAAGGCAACATTTGATCACAGCTGTGCTGCTGCATGTGCCTTACCCTGCCTAGGGATGGCCTGTCATGATTCATGGGCTCATGTTCCCTGTTCACTGCTTGAGTTGGTGAGAATTGCCAGGTAGGGAAAAAGGGAGTGTTTTGAATTGAGCTGATTTTAAATTCTATGATGGAGTAGCAGACATGAGAGTTTAGACTTATCAGAGTTGCTGTCTTCGCTTTGTTCTCCTGAAGTGTACCTTGGTGGGTGGGTTCTCACACTTTTTTTTTTAATTTTATCTAGTCTCTGATGGATTGTTTTATCCAAGCCAAATGCATTAAAACAAGACAAACCCCTCACATGTAGAAAATTTCCTTATTTATAGTTGGGTGTGAGTGGGTGTAATTGGGATAAAGACCACTCCCAATGTATCCCTGTGCTGATGTGGATGATGGAGGTTAAAATAATAAATAATAAAATGTGAAAATTAAAGAAATAGTTGCCGAAAATTTCTGTTGTGTATGTAAGATGGATTTTTTTTTTCTTTTTTAGAAATAACTGAAGAAGGTCCATCCCCACTTTAAAATCCTAGTGTTTGGGGAGGACATTCTATAGTGGGCAGCAAGAATCTCGTTAGGGAAAAGGCAGGGCATTCTGCCTGCCTGTAAGATGGAGCAGTATGAGAATGATGGGAACTTTTAGATTTGTAAAAAAGGGAGATTCTGGGAAGCTTAGAATGTTCCAAAAGAGCAGTGTGGTTGATAGTCATGTCCAGAAAGTGTTGGTTGGCTTACAGAAACTGTAACTTAGAACTTTTACTTACAAGACAAGCAGTTTGGGGTAAATCAACCACAGGACTTGTTTCTTCATTCACAAAATGAGGATAATAAAAATACCTATCTTGGGGGCTGGGGTTGTAACTCAGTGGTAGAGCGTTTGCGTGGCATGTGTGAGGCACTGGGTTTGATACTCAGCACCACATAAAAATAAATAAGTAGGGGCTGTAGCTCAGTGGTAGAGTTCTTGCCTAGCATGTGTGGGATACTAGGTTCAATCCTCAGCACCACAACATAAAAATAAACAAAGGCATGCTGTCCAACTACCAAAAAATTAATTAATTAATTAAAAATAAATAAGTAAAATAGAGGTATTGTGTCCATCTACAACTAAAAAATATTTTTTATAAAAACCCTATCTTGGGTAATTGTGAGAATTAGTTGTATAATGCATGAAAAATGATCTGTAAATTGTCAGCCATGTGACAAAGCAAAAAGTTGGTAAGCAAAATAAAACTTAACCTACTTCAACAATTATTCATCCAAAAACCATCAAATATCAACTAAATGTCAAGCAACTGGAGGCTCAGAGGTTACAGTAATGACTAAGTGTTCTAAACCTTACAATAAAGCAGAGGAACTAAATAATTATAATACCTACCTTAAGCGCAGTGATAGATGTAGCATCCAGTTTAGATGATAAATTTTTGGCCACCTTGTGGTTGTATGTATACAGAGTTTGGGAAGCATAGAAGAGAGTGCTCTGCCTCTTCCTGGGATCAGAAAGAACTCCCCAGAGAATGTGAGCTGGACATGGAAAAGGTTCTAAGCAATGGTATGAAGGTAGGAATGCTTTCATGGTGTTAGGTGATTTGGGATGAAGGAAAATCTTAAATAGATTTATGACTTAAAATGGAGTTAAGTTTAAGCTTCTTAACTTTTTTTTTTTTTTTAATAGTTTTTAGTCATCAGTGGATCTTTTATTTATTTATATGCATTGTTGAGGATTGAAGCCTGGGCCTCACACATGCCAGGTGAGCACTCTAGCACTGAGCCACTACTCCAGCTCCTAAGCTTCTTAACTTTTATGCTAATCTTTATTAGTTTCATTTCATTGAATTTCCTGCCCCGCCATCCTGGGGACTGAATTCTGGGGTGCTCTACCACTGAGCTGTATCCCTACCCCTCTTTATTTTTTGAGACAGGGTCATCCTTTACTCTCAAATGATTCATAAAGAACAAGAATTAGACCTCTAGGTCTTGTTTATTTTGAGAGAGGGTCTCACTAAGTTGCTGAGGCTGGCCTTGAACTGGTGATCCTCCTGCCTCCAAGTAGCTGGGATTAGAGTGGTGTGCCACTATTTTCAACTTCATTTTGTTGAATTTTAATTAGGAGTGTGGTTAGAATTATGCACAAACAAGTGGCTGGGATTGTGGCTCAGAGGTGGAGCGCTTGCCTAGCATGTGTGAGGCACTGGGTTTGATCCTCAGCACCACATAAAACTAAAATAAAGGTATTGTGTCCACCTATGACTGAAAAATAAATGTTTAAAAAAAAAGAATTATGCACAAACAAAAAACACTGGGGCCACAGAGTTGAAAAGTGTTACATGTGTAAGATTTCCTAAAAGAAGGAAACTGGTAATCCCTGCCATCATTGCTGAGATCTACCTTACCTGGTTCTTCATTCAGTAACTGTTCACTGAATAGTTACGTTCCACATAAAGGAATAAGCCAAAGTCCTTGCCTTCAAGTTGCTCACAATCTACTGAGGCATACCAACACATATGTAATTGTAGCCAGTTCCTACTTAGCACTTTGTGACTGACATGCCTATGGTAACTCTAAAAGCTACCATCCCTTCACAGTTGAAGAAAGAGGCACAAATTGGGTAAGCAGCCTACTCAAGGTCTGGTTAATCAGTACTTTAATGCCCACTATATATATATATATATATATATATATATATATATATATATATATATATATATATTGCTGTTCTAATTATTAAAATGTAAAGTGCAAAATAAGGTGATAATACACAGTTAAAAATGGGAGAGGAAGTTATAAAATGCTTTTAGGAGGAGGTAGTAACCTCTAATATGTGGGAGGGTCATACAGCAGAATCAATCAGCCTCAGTAAAACTGGAGGTAAGACATGAAGTCCTGTATATTGAGGATGCCTGGGAGTGAGGCCACAAGCAGTACTCTATTGCTTGAATTTTGAAGTTTGAATTGGGAAGCAGCCACAGATACAGGTAGATGGGTGGGCACAGAGGGTCTTGTATGCCTTGCCAAGGAGTTATATGGCCTGGGGATATGTGAGGGGGCACCTATAGCAGGAGAATGGCATGGTCTAATTTTATTCTTTGTGAATCATCTGAGAGTGAAGGATGTATTTGAGGAGCACATTAAGGAACCCATTACAATAACTCCGGATTGGTAATAGAGGCCTCGAAAGGGCAGGGAAGGTAAGGATAAAATAAAGGGGCATATTTGAGAAATACTGAGTGGGAAAATTGGCAAGACTTGGCAAATTGATTGCCAGAAGTTCCAGGTAATTTGTAAGTAGCCTGGGGGTGCACAGTGGTGGCAACTGAAACAGAATGCAGGGGGAGGAGCAATTTTAGGTGGGCCTCAGACAAAGTCTGAGTGCATAAAGTGAGTACTTTGGAATGGGTAGGAATCCTACAAAATGAACCCTAAGAATGAATACAAATGCCATGTGCAAAAAGGGACTTCCTGGTAAAACCACTTTTAGCGGAGAAAAGCCAACTGTTTATACAGTGCCCTCTGGTGGTCAAAATATGTTATGCTGCCTCTTCAAGATGAAGGATGAAAGTGTAGAAACTGCCTGGATTAAATACTTTACTCCTGGAGGAAAGAGAATATTTTAGAAGCCACTGTTTCCTCTGCCTTCGGGTTGAATTGATTTCCTAGACCTGTAATTCGGTTGAACTACAAAGGTATCTCATAAGTTAGTTGGTTGGCAATCTTACCTAATCCCTGTCATGAAGCAGAAGAAGGCAATTTGAGTGCCTATCAACAAAGTACAGAAATTGAAATTTGTATGTGTGTGTGGGGGGGTGCTAGGGATTAAACCTAGGGGTGCTTAACCAATGAGCCACATCCCCAGCCATTTTTAAATTTTGAGAAAGGATCTCACTAAGTTGCTTAGGGCCTCGCTAAATTGGTGAGGCTCACTTTGAATTTGTGATCCTCCTGCCTCAGCCTCCTGAGCCACTGGGATTACAGGCATGGACCACCATACCCAGTTAGGGATTGAAAACTTATATCTTACTCTAGAGCCCTTCCCTATGTTCTCACAGAAAATTAATTTATTATAAATTGAGTTTCAACGAGTTTTTGTCTTGTTTCACAGCCTATAAGAGACTGAAATGGTGAACAGAAGGAGGTCAGCATACCTTTTAGAAGTAACAGCTGTTGGCTTGACAAGGGGACAGAAAAATACCAGCAAACCAACCAACAAACCACCATCTCCAAAAGCAGGTGTAGGTATAAACAAACTTTGCAAATTTCACCAGCTCCTGCACCTCAGCAAAACATAATTGATGTAGAGAACATAGTCAGGTGGTGCTGTGTGTGGAGCTGCAGTTAGAGTAGCGAAGAACTCTAGACCAGGACTGAAGAGACAAGGGTTGTCCTGACAACCACTAAACCTACAAATGGCTATGAGCATATCACTTGGTTTGCTTTGTGGGCCTGTAGAATAGTAGATTGAACCTGTCATTTCATAAAATTTTATAAAATGTGCAATGATGACATTAATAATTTTTAAAAATTGGATTATGCTTGGATTGAAAGGGCAAAAAACATTTGCCATCTCTAGTTTATATAAGAGTTCTTTGATGAGTATAATTATGCCAATTTTATAGTTGAGAAAAGTAGAACTTGAGAAAAGTAGAACTAGAGAGAGAAAAAGTTTCCTCATTCCTACATAAGTTGTAGAGCTGGTATTCAAATCTAGTAGGGTGTGCTTCCTGGGCTTTTAAAAAAATTCCTTCATTTAACAAGCTATACTAAGTGCCAACTATGTGAGAAGAGTGTGCTAGACACAGGAACACCCAGGCTGTTAAGTCTTGGCCCTGTCCTTGAGGGTTCAGAATAGTGGGCATTACTGTACCAGACTGTTCCTTGGGTCTCTGTCAGTGCTAATGATACAAGTAATACTTCAGCATTGTTAGCATTAATGTACAGCTGAGTTGTGTTTTTAAAAGACTTGAGGGTGTGAACATGAAACCAAGCTACCATTTATAGCATTGTTTCTATGGGAATATGTGTTTTAGGTTCCAAATAACTTAAAAATAAGTTTTGGAATATAACCCAATTATAATTTCAGAACTTCCTGTACTGAGTACTGAATTTGGAGTTTAATAACCAGCCAGAATATTTGGTCTAAATAGTGAATAAGTTTTTCTAATAATTTTTCTAATAAATTTTTCTAATCATTTAAATGGCTTAAAGTAAAACCTTTTATCTTTAGGACCCTCTACCCAGCAGTTTCAAGGAAAAAACCTAAAGAATTTAATCAGTTTCAGAGATTGAACTGTATACCCTGGAAAATGGTATTCAAAGAAAAAAACTTTTGCTGATGCGATATTCTTTTAGGTGGCAAAATCTCTAAAGTTGTGATCTTAGACTGGAGAGTTATATTGCTTGTGCTCTAATCCAAAGAAGTTCTCTCTTTATGGCACACATGCAATACTATATGCCTCTGTCTTGGTCAGTTTTTCATTACCATAATAAAATACCCAAGACTGGGTTACTTATAAAGAAAAGTTTATTTAGCTCACAATTTGAATGCCAAAGATCCTAAGAGCATAGCACCGGCTCTGGTAAAGTCACCTCTTGGCTAGATCATATGTTGGGAGTGAAGGATGTATTTGAGGAGCACATTAAGGAACCCGTTACAATAACTCAGGATTGATAATAGAGGCCTCGCAAGGGCAGGGAATGTAAGGATAAAATAAAGGGGCATATTTGCTTTCTTTATAACAAACTCCCTCTTAGGAGCTACCCGGTCTTAATCCTTTCCAAGGGTGGTGCTACCAGTGATCTAATGGCCTCCCACTAGGTACCACATCTTAGGGCTGGGGCTATAGCTCAGTTGGTAGAGTGCTTGCCTTGCAGGCACAAGGCCCTGGGCTCAATCCCCAACACCACAACAACAACAAAAAAAAAGGTACCATGTCTGACAAGGCTTCCAGCACGTGCACTTTTGAACACACTTAAATCACATCGAAACCATAGCAACCTCTGTTTTTTTTATCTAGTTTTTTTAACCTATGTATGTGTATGTAGTATGTGTTGAGATATACACACACACAAATATCTGCCTAGAGCAGAGCCTGACATTATAGTAAGGCTTAACAAATATTAGCTATTCATATTATTATTGTATTATAGTTGTCATTTACCACACCTCACATCCTTCACCTTCCATTTATAAAGCAAATCTACCTTCCTTTCCATTCAAACTATTGTATAGTCGTCCGTGTCCCCTCCTCCCTCGCGCAACTATTTATATACATACCTTTGCAAATACCAGAAATGTCTTTCCCTTGCTCTCTGTTTTTATCCACCTACTCCTTTGTCAAGTTTCCACTCAAATCCTACATCCTTCCTAAAGCCTACTGTTCTGGTATAATTCATGCTTTTCTCCTTCTAAACTCTTGCTGTATTTTAGTCAATATAATTTAGTTAGCATTTAGTTGTTCTCAAATTGCTTTTTAGTTTCAAATTTAATCCCTCATATATAATTAGCTCAGCTATACACCATCTTTCTGCACCCCCATGCTTTATACAGTGTTAGGAACACAGTAGGTGTTCAATACATTCTGATACTCTAATTATAAAACATGAGGGAACCCTTTCATTACATTTTAGGCTTTCAAAAAAGGTAATCTTGGGCTGGGGTTGTGGCTCAGTGGTAGAGCACTCGCCTAGCATGTATGAGCCCTGGGTTCAATCCTCAGCACCTCATAAAGATAAATAAATAAAGGTATTGTATCCATCTACAACTAAAAAATATTTTTTAAAAAAGTAATCTACAGTCCTTAATTAAATCCATACACATACATTCAATCTTGTAAGACACAGAAATAGGTAAAAGGAGATTAAAGTATATACAGGTTGTGTATCCCATATCTGAAATGCTTGGAACCAGAATTGTTTCAGCTTTCAGACAAAATTTTCCTGGATTGTAGAATATTTTTATGACTTTTATTGGCATGTTAGTACTTTAAAAATTTTAGATTTTGAAACATTTGGAATTTGGGGATTAGGTATGTTCAACCTGTACTTAAATAACCCTTTGAGATCTGGAGGTAACTGTAATAGGTGCAGAGATGGGGTGTTGAATTGGGAGTCTGGTGCTAGGCTCTTCCAGACTTTCCTGAGGCTGTGCAAATCATCCTTAAGTTTCTCAGTGGTAATGCAAGTCTGTGTCACAATTTGGAATTATTATTTGCCTTACAAAAGGAGACACTTCAAAATTACTTTAAGTTACTTTATTTGCTTTACATGCTTTTTTGTAGACCCTTTTCATTTATCCAGTGATGGGGCCAAAGATGTCATCACCCTCATTTCACATTGCAAAAAGAAAGGTTATGTGCCTGGCACATAGTAAGTACTCAGTGTGCTGACTGTGATGTCTGCTTATAAACAAATCTGAAAATAGGTAATCCAGCAAGACTATTATTTCCAGTTTAAAAGATTTAGCCATGGAGGGTAGGTGTTTTTGAAATCTTAAGTGTCAATAAGAAATTTACTGAAACAGCTTACATAGTATATCTTAGGGAACACATCTGTTGAATAAGACTAAGTGGACACATGCAGGTAAAATCACATTACAAATAGTGTTCAGAATGGGGGTGGTCACCTGTGCAGTAGCACATAGCCAATAAACTCTAAGCCCCACGCCCAGTCTTTGTTAGTGTTCTTTGCAGAGGGCCACACCTCATAGTTCCAAAGAAGTGTTTAGTACCATCTAGGTAGACTGGAGTCCTTGTATTATAGTCCTGCTACCTACTTCACCACAGCTAACTATATCCTGAGAGATATGGTTTAGTGACCCTAGATTGTTAACCTTCTTTTATAAAATAAGAATTTGGACTTGGAATAGATCTCTCTAAGCTCTACATGTCTGTGACTATCTAAATTACTTAATATGTTTAATGTGTTGGCTGTTTTTGAATTTGAGATGAGCTGGAGCTAATAAGCTTTTCAAATCAAAATCTTAAAAATCCAGCATAATTTTTTAATTTTTAAATTCTTGCTGAAGTACCACACATTGGGTATCCTAGTCTTAGGGGAGCAGTCCTTATCCAAAAAACATGAAGTCCTTTGAATCACACTTGAATGTTTTGCTGTCAGCCCAGCCTTTGACGTCTAGCTGTGATAAACTTGTTTTTCCAGTGATGCAGCTAAGTAACACAAACAAAAGCAACCACAGATTTCAGTCATAAAAACAGGAGCAACTGAAATATAAGCAATACTTTTATGTGAAACTTTTTATAGGTTTTACTATAAGAAAGTTCACTAAGTTTTTTTTTTTTTAATAGCATCATTAAAGAGGTCAGAATATTGAAAAGAGATCAAACTTGGAATTTGAGAGAAATTATTTTTTGTGGATTTTTTTTATTTGTTTTGGTAATTGAATCCAGGGGTACTCTACCACTGAACTACAACCCCAGTCATTTTTATTTTTGAGACAGGGTCTCACAGAGTTGCTGAGGCCAGCTTCAAACTTGTGATGTTCCCCCAGTCTTCTGAGTCACTGGAATTATAGCTGTGCACCACTGCACTCAGCTGAAATTATTTTGTAATAAAAGCAAAAGCACTGGGCTAAGGATGTAGCTCAGTGGTAGAGTGCTTACCTAGCATGTGTGAAGCCCCTAAGTTCAATTACCAGCACCAAAAAAAAGTGAATGCATTATAAAAAATGTAATGCAAAAGAGATTTAGGGATTAGATCCCTCATCCTCCATTCCTACTTTTTTTTTTTTTTAACGTATTAAGCCTTCTTAAAGCTTTTCTGAATGAGAGAGAGTAAGAATACAGTTGCTGGTACAATGTAAATTACAGCTATTAGAAGTTATTCTACCTAAGATCAGTTTTACCCAGAACTTGGACAATTGCTTAATACCATTGCTTAAACTGTAGGTCACCCTAGTAGTTGTATGGTTAGCACCAAAAATTAGACAGCCCTTGTTCAGCTTCCACCTCTATGATGAGAGAGAATGTAGACAGACAGATGGAGGCAAGGGATTCATACCCATTTAAACCCAGAGCCCTTGTGTTCTTCTACAGCATGATGCCTCTTCCATAGAGTAGGAACTTTACTCAGTTCATGTTGAATGAAATCACTAATTTAGAAACTGTCGAAATTCTCAATGATCTAACCTTGAGATTATGGAATGCCTATGCTATTGCTCATTTCAGTACTTAATAGTGCCTGGTCCACCAAAGGTATTCAGTAAAATTTTTGAATGAATAAATACACATTAAATATTATAAGTACCATTATTTGTTTCAGTGTTTTGTTTATGTTAACACAGAATGTATTTTTACTACTTTGATTGAATAGTGATTATAGCTTCAGATGTCCTATGTAATTGGACTTACATGTAGTTGTATTAATTTGAATTAATGGCCGTAAAACTGCTTTTCATTCAGATAAGAGTTCTTGGAACTCTTTGTCTTTATTTCAAGTGTGGACTATTTAATGCCTGAAAGTTGTTATAGATTTATAGCTTTCTAATGGACTGTGTTATTTAAAAGGAAACTTTAAGATTATCTACTTAGACTTACTTCCTGATGCTTAAGTAAGCATTACCACTGCTGTGACAGCAGTTATTGTTACTTCCATTAACTGATTACCTGCCAAGCACTATACATTTTATATGCCACCTCTGTGAATGCTTATTTTAATGTTATTTGAGGTATTATCCCCACCTTGAAACTAAGGGTGAACTAGGAAAGCAAGTTTCAAAACTCTTTTTTTTTTTAAGAGAGAGAGAGAGAGAGAGAGAATTTTCATATTTATTTTTCAGTTTTCGGTGGACACAACATCTTTGTTTGTATGTGGTGCTGAGGATCGAACCCGGGCCGCACGCATGCCAGGCGCGCTACCGCTTGAGCCACATCCCCAGCCCCAGTTTCAAAACTCTTAGTTAGATTGGAACCCAGGTCTGACTGATTCAAGGCTTGTGCTCATTTCACTGTAATATCCTCAATAACATTTTGCTTCTTCTTTAATTTGGGTGTTTATTATCCTCCAAACAGGTTTGTTTAATTTATGAACAACTCTTATTACTAGAAAGCAATTTTTTTCAATCCTTCTACTTTGTTTTCATTCAGGGTCTCTTCGAATCCTACAAAAATGACTGTACACTAGAAATCTCGCCCTACTTAAATGAGCTTGGGTCCACATTTTTGTAGACTTTTTTTTTTTTAAACATTTTGAATAAGACTGTATTGTTTGGATTTGTTTTATATAATTCTAATTGTAATAGAATTTTGTACTTTTGTTTACTTCATTCTCCATCCTAAAAAAAATTTCTCACTTCTGTTGTCTTCGTTCAAAAATACAATTTTCGAAAGTCAGTGAATTTTAAGAGTGAATTCTAGGGAGTAGATTATTCACTAAAAATTCCCTTTTTATCAGGCACCCAAATTATAAATAACACATGGATGAGCATCTTTGGCATAAACTGCTTTTGTATTTAGATCCATGGAAAACAGGAGTCCTCATGGTTTTGGTACAGATTTTCAAGTTACAGTGGTTTGAAATAATGTATTAGCAGGTTTTACTACTACATTTACTACTTGATACACCTGATCTGGTTTCCAGAAGGTACAGTGGTTGCCATTTTAAGAAGGCAGCAGATGTCATCACCTTCATTTCACACTACAAAAGCAAAACTATGTGTTTGACACATAGAAGTACTCAGTATGCCATGCATGTATGCTTACAACAAATCTGAAAATATGTAATCCACACTCACATCCCTACCCATGGAACTCTGGCTTTAGGCAGGGAAATAGGAAGGAAGATGTGATTTAGGCCTGTAGGGGGAAAGGGTATGTAATCCATATTTGATTTATGAGGAACAGATAAAAGCAAGTAAGTAAATTTAGATACTCTTAATTACTATAGCAGGGATCAAAGAGTTTTGGGACTGAAGAGCGAACATTTTATTTCTCTGAACAGCTTGTTTAAATGTTCTTTTTAAGTTCAGTAAAATTGCGTAGGAATTTTTTTAGTAGCAGATACATTCTGAACCTTTATGTATACAGATTAAAATTTGAGGATAAAATTGGATCTTATTTAGGCCTGGGGATTTAGGTCAGTGTTAAAGCACCCCTGGGTTCAATCCCTACTACCCAAAACAAAACCAAAAATATACAAAAATAGAATTTTACTTTTCTCCCAGCTTCAAATAGTTATCAACACATAGCCAATCTTGTATCATATATAGTCCCTTCACCCACTTCATTCATCTTGAATATCTCGTTTCATCTACAAACACTTCAATACATATATATAAAAGATAAAGATTTTTTATAGTTATATTATACTTGAGATATAGGCGTACTTTTTAATTTTTTTAAAATAGAACAGTGATTATATTTTTTTAATCATACTAAGTCCTATAATGGTAAAGCATATCTTTTTAAATTAGTTTTACATGACAGTAGAATGCATTTGACACGTCATACATAAAGGGAGTATAACTTTTCATTCTTCTGATTGTACATTATGTAAAGTTACACTGGTTGTATAATCATATATGCACATACACTCATTTTTAACAATCAAAAAACCCTTATCACACTTAGAAATGAGCAATAGTTCCTTAATGTCAATCATCTAAGAAATTTTTAATAATAATCTGGTTACTAATGTTCAGATTAATCTTTTATTTCTTTTGTTGTTCATTTCCTTTAAGTACTCCATTCTAAATCTTGAAAATTTTCCCATTTTTTTTCTGTTATCTTCATAAAAATAGTTTTTGAAAGCCAGTGCATTTTAAGAGTGAAGGGAAAAAGAATGTCATTTTTCCTTTCATATTTAATGTATACATTTTTCCTGCAACCAAAATTAAGGTTTTTGTTTTTGATGACTTTTTTTAATATGGGAAACCTGAATAAATGGCTGTTTTCATTTTCAAACTTAAAAAATTATTCATAATGTATTAGCAGGTTTTACTACATTAGGGTGGAAATTTATTCATACCTTGAATGTAATAGCAGTCAGATAAGTCTGAAATAATGATAAAAATTATTTTAATGCTTTTCTTATATCATCTGACTTTAATATTTTTGTTTTACATAGGTCTCTAATTAATAGAAGATGGCAAAACCCAGCCACAGCAGCTACGTCCTTCAGCAGCTAAACAACCAAAGAGAATGGGGTTTTCTCTGTGACTGTTGTATTGCAATTGATGACATTTACTTTCAAGCCCACAAAGCCGTTCTAGCTGCCTGCAGCTCCTATTTTAGAATGTTTTTCATGAACCATCAACATAGTACTGCACAACTGAATCTCAGCAATATGAAAATTAGTGCTGAGTGTTTTGATCTCATTTTGCAATTTATGTATTTAGGAAAAATTATGACAGCTCCCTCCAGTTTTGAGCAGTTTAAAGTGGCAATGAACTACCTACAGCTGTACAATGTTCCTGACTGCTTAGAAGATATACAGGATGCAGATTGTTCTAGTTCAAAATGTTCATCTTCTGCTTCCAGCAAACAGAACAGCAAAATGATATTTGGAGTAAGAATGTATGAAGACACTGTGGCTAGAAATGGAAGTGAAGCCAATAGGTGGTGTGCAGAGCCAAGTTCAACAGTAAATACACCACATAATAGAGAGCCTGATGAAGAATCTTTACAATTAGGTAATTTTCCTGAACCACTATTTGATGTATGTAAAAAAAGTTCTGTGTCCAAATTATCTGCTCCAAAAGAACGTGTATCGCGACGCTTTGGACGGAGTTTTACCTGTGACAGCTGTGGATTTGGCTTTAGTTGTGAAAAATTATTAGATGAGCATGTGTTGACCTGTACTAACAGACATTCATACCAAAATACAAGATCTTACCACCGAATAGTAGATATTAGAGATGAAAAAGACAGTAACATCAAAGCTGAATTTGGTGAAAAGGATTCTTCTAAAACATTTTCTGCACAGACCGACAAATACAGAGGAGACACAAGCCAGGCTCCTGATGATTCAGCTTCAACCACTGGAAACAGGAAAAGTAGCACAGTGGAGTCTGAAATAGCCACTGAAGAAAAAAGCAGAGCTGCTGAGAGGAAAAGAATCATTATCAAGATGGAGCCAGAAGATATTCCTGCAGATGAGCTGAAAGATTTTAACATTATTAAAGTTAATGATAAAGACTGTAACGAATCCACTGACAACGATGAATTGGAAGATGAACCCGAAGAGCCGTTTTATAGATACTATGTTGAAGAAGACGTCAGCATTAAAAAAAGTGGTAGGAAAACTCTAAAACCTCGGATGTCAATAAATGCTGATGAAAGAGTTGGTTTAGAAAATATGAGACCCCCTAACAACAGCAGTCCAGTTCGAGAGGATACTGAAAATGCATCTTGTGAGCTATGTGGACTCACAATAACCGAAGAGGACCTGTCATCTCATTACCTAGCCAAACACATTGAAAATATCTGTGCATGTGGTAAATGTGGACAAATACTTGTCAAGGGTAGACAACTTCAGGAACATGCCCAAAGATGTGGAGAACCCCAAGATCTGACAATGAATGGGTTAGGAAATACTGAGGAGAAAATGGACATGGAAGAAAATCCTGATGAGCAGTCTGAAATAAGAGATATGTTTGTTGAAATGTTGGATGATTTTAGGGACAGTCATTACCAGTTAAACAGTATCCAAAAAAAGCAGTTATTTAAGCATTCTGCCTGTCCTTTTCGATGTCCTAACTGTGGCCAGCGTTTTGAAACTGAAAATCTAGTGGTTGAACATATGTCTAGCTGCCTAGACCAAGATATGTTTAAGAGTGCCATCATGGAAGAAAATGAAAGAGATCACAGGCGAAAGCATTTCTGTAATCTGTGTGGAAAAGGATTTTATCAGCGGTGTCATTTAAGAGAACACTATACTGTTCATACTAAGGAAAAACAGTTTGTTTGTCAGACATGTGGAAAGCAGTTTTTAAGAGAACGTCAGTTGCGTCTGCACAATGATATGCACAAAGGCATGGCCAGGTATGTCTGTTCCATTTGTGATCAAGGAAACTTCAGAAAACATGACCATGTACGGCATATGATTTCTCATTTATCTGCTGGTGAGACTATATGCCAGGTCTGCTTTCAGATATTCCCAAATAATGAACAATTGGAGCAGCACATGGATGTTCATCTGTATACATGTGGAATATGTGGAGCAAAATTTAATTTGAGGAAAGATATGAGATCACATTATAATGCCAAGCATTTGAAAAGAACCTAAGTGATTTTTCTACTGTACTAATGTCTAGTTGATAGCAGACAAAACACCAAAGCAAAAAGGATATGAGCTATTTAGAAATTGATTTTATAAGATGAATTGTTTTTAAAAATATTCAAGTCCCTTTTATCTTTAATATTTTTGTTTAGGATATTAAGTTTCTACATTTTAGGCGTTAAAATGTTTTTATCATTTTTTGTTGTTTCTAATAGCATTCTTTGTTTCTAGTTTTCTTAGCTTGGATTAAAATTACTTTTACATGTAGACGATAAGTGGCTGTTACCCCTTCAATGACTATTAAACTTTAGTTTTTTTTATCAATAAGGTGATGACTTCACTATTTTTATGTGTTTTTTTTTTTTAAGGTTATCATGTGAAATTTAAAACCCAATATGATTGGCCATTCCTGTTTAAATTTTAAAAAGTATTTATTTGAAACTGCCCTATTTCATTGTTAGCATTTTTTTCTTTTTCTTTTTTCTTTTCCCAGTTGAACAGTGGGTTAGCTACTGTTTATTCTCCCTTATTATCAATGAAATTCATATTCTTAAATTGACAAGCTTATTAGGCAAGTTAGGTGCACTGAATCTAACCTTTAAGGTTGACATGGGCTCAAACTTGGCCTAAAAAGATTGATGGACCTGAGGAAATTCCTATAAATGAACATTTCCTATAACTGATAAAATATTATCATTTAATAATCACATTAAAAACTTATATTAAGTGTAAATCCCAATGGCTTTCCCTCACTTGAGAAACTTGTGGGGATAAGCCATTTTGTTTTATGATATTAAATTTAACTATGATAGTTAATTAAAAAGACATCTTGTATTCATTAAAAATATTTTTAATTTAAAATATTCTTGATTTTCTAAAGTGTGTTAGTTTACCAATTATTTTTGTTTATAAATAGACTTTAATAGTGCTCTAGAAGTATGACATCTAAAGGAAAATATGATTTAAAATTACATACTTTTGGAACTTTGAGATTCGAGAAAGTTGCCATGTATATTGATAAATCTAATAAAATAAATCAATTATAAATCTGGTTGTTCTATAAAAGTAGAGTGCACAAAAAATGTGTTGTGTTTTATACTAAGATTTGGAGAAAATGTGTCGTGGCAAATTGCAGTTTATCACCATGCTTTATTATTATTTTCTGTAAAGGATACAAAATTTGAGGATTATAAAATAATCAGCATATAAATGGAAATAGTTTATCATTTTCAATTAAAGTAGTTTGTTAGTTGTTATTGACAGAGGGTCTACATCATTTACATGTGAATTAAAACACTGGCAAACCTGACCCACCAATAAACACATCTACTGAATAGAATGCCTATTAATGTGAATTACTTGTAACATAATACCCTTCTTATAATTAAAAGGATTTTAGTTAACTCTCCTATATTTAAAATATAATTTTGTGATTATGAGCAATAGTTTAATGGCATTGCTTTTTGTTCACATCAGATTTTTAAATAAGTAATTTTTATACAGTTTACATAAAAGAACAAGTTGCCAAGAGAATTGAGAGACATATTGGCTAGTAAAGATTTAGTTGAAAGTATTAGAGCAGAGTGAGTACAGAGACTTAGAGGGATATGTTCAAATTGTTGAGGTTAGGAATAGCACAGGAGCCAGGGCAGAATTAATGTGAAGTAGAGAAGCACAAGAAGATAAAACAAGAAATCAAGAATTTTTTTTTTTTTTAAAGCCACACAGTTAACAGAGAATGCAGGAAAAATGAGTTCCCCTTAGTCTTAGATTTAGTTGTTTATCAAATACTTAAATTGGAAATGCAATTTAAAATGAAATATAAGATGCATATATATATTACTGTTAGGAACTTGATAACCAAAAGCTCTCAGAAAGTAGTGTAAAGAGATAAGATAAACCAAATTTCCTAACTACATGATATCTTAGTGGACATGATCTTCAGGGTCACTTTTTGCTACCCTCATCAAAATTTTTGTTGCAGCGGCTTTCCCCACTATTGGGGTGGGGGGTGGGGAGGGCTTTTTTCTAAATACTACCTCTTTGAAGAAAGGATTATTTATTCCATTGGGGAGGGGTTGTGTGATTTTGTACTTTGCCATGTGCTAACAGCCAACAATTAGCAACCAAATATATAAACATTATCTTAGTTTTACATGACACAGATGTTTATAGTTTCACAAAGTCACACCTCATGATGTATTTCTTCTTGTTTCATATGTCACAGGACACACTTGTTTTGGAATTAGCTACAGGGTAGTACAGGCTTCTCCAAGTGGAAAGTATAATTTTCCTTATCAAACAGTTCATTCAAAAGCTATGTGGCTTTTAAAATTAAGGGAAGCTCAGCACAGTGACACATGCCTGTAGTCCTAGTGACTTGGGAGGCTGAGGCAAGAGAATGCAAATTTGAGGCCAACCTCGGCAGTTTAGCAACTTAGTGAGACCCTGTCTCAAAATAAATAAAAAGCACTGGGGATGTAGTTTGGTAGAGCACCCCTGGGTTCAATCCCATATCAAAATAAAACAAAATTAGGGGAAATGAAAAATGCCCAACACCTTAGCCAGACTCAACTTCCTTTCACCTCCATCCTCTGTTAGCATGGAGCCTCTTAAAGAGCTCTAACTCCTTTGCTATTGCTTCTTGCTCTCCTGTGCTGTGAAGAGAATGAAGACTGGAAGTTGTCTGCTGTTCATATAACACACGTCTTTAGGCTCCAAATTTTAAAAAAAGGAAAATCTAGATAGATGGAGTAGGATCTTGTTCCCGTTTCATCCTGACACCATTTTGTTTGAAAAGACCTTTTGTTCTTGCCACTACCAATTCTTGGATTCCTTTTTTTCTTCCATACTGGGATTAAACCCAGGGGCACTTTACCACTGAGCTATATACCCACCCTTTGTAATTATTTTGAAGCAGGGTCTCACCAAGTTGCCCAGGCAGACTTTGAACTTGTCATCCTACTGCCTCAGCCTCCTGAGTAGCTGGGATAACAGACATGCATCACTGTGCCTGGCTAGTTTTTTGGATTTCTTTATGTATAATGAGCAATCCCAGACTAAATTTTTTATCTTGTGGCGCTAGTGATCAAACCCAGTGCCTTGCGAGACATGTTAGGCAAGTGCTCTAACACTAAGCTACATCCTCAGGCCTATTTTTTCTAAAAAGCAAGAAATCCTGGCGGAATAGTCAGCTTTTAACAAACTTGCCACTAATTACAGTGCAATTTGGATGTTCTATAACTTTTTAGTAAATAAGACCCTCACACCCAGAGATTAATAAAACATAGCCAAGGCCATAGTAGATTAGGATTCAGAAGTTTGTCTTAATTTCCCATATTATTAAAGTAAAAATATTCAGAGAAATGAGCCATATGAGTAAACTGGTATTTGGCAAATGTTTAATTACTACAAAGTAATTAACAGTTTGACTATGGACAAAAATTAAGTTAGAAAAAAATCTTCCAGAGGGGCTAGTTACAATAATAAGAATTAAAATAAGGATGGTGTTTGCTAGAGCTGACACTAGTTAAAAGGAAAAATAATGGACAAGAAAGATGTTGTACTGTAATTAAAAGCAAAAAAAATATGAATAGGATATAAAAATTGAAGTAAATAAAACATTTGAAGATTATAGGTGAGATGAATAGAGATTAAAATAAATTGATTAGATTAAAATAATTATAGGCTGCCTAACTGAATAAGAGTGATGAACATATCAAGGCTATGCCTGAATACTTGAGATACTTTTATATTCTAAACAATGGGAAGAGGCTGGTGATAGCTGGCAACTTCTCACTGGTAACAGGATACTCAATCCTCTATATCACTACGAAACTTTTCCTACTTAATGCATCTCTGGAAAATCTGCCAAAGAACCAGTGTAATAGTTGTTAATATTTAAGTATAAAACTTGTCATTAACAAAAAGCTAAATAAGTACCAACAGAAAAAAAACCTGGATATGTCTGTGCATACATAGTTAAGAATAAAGAAATTTGGTATATCTAATTTAACTGAGTTTTATCATGAATTAAAATTGAAAAATTTTTTTTCCATTAATCTGTTTTGATCAGTCAACTTTCCTCACCATCCCCTTCTCAGTTGTAATTAATGCTTCCCAGGGATAAAATGCTAGTGCTCTGAAGGCATCCTCGCATCAACAACTTCTAGCATTGCAGAGCACCAAAAAGCTGTGGGAAAACATATCCTTGCAAGATCCTCCCTATATCCTTAATGTCTGAGGGTGATAGGTTGGATGGTAGGAAACTCAAGCAAGTGGAATTATATTTGGTGTTTAGAACTTGAAGCTACATCACAGATTTGGAAATCCATTATCCATTCAAAATAGGGTTCTCAGTAATCCCAGTATCTATTTATTTAGGGCTATATACTCAAATGCTTTACATACATAATTTTAATTAAGCCTCACAGTCTTTTGAGGTAAGTATCATACTAATTTTCTAGACAGGGGACCCAGGTCCAGAAGGGCTGAGTATTTTTCCTAAAATCACATAGAAACTGTATTAGACCTGGAGTTTGAATCTAGACCCAACTTTGCCTACATTACTATACTTAACCACTAAGCTACTTGCTCCACCTATCAAGAAGTACAAAGATGGGCCTTTTCAGGCTCATGTGATAAAGGTCCTGTGAGGCTGTGCTCCTTGTTCATCTCATCTGCAATGCCTGGTAAGGGGGCTAGTAATGGTACCTAATGAACATTCTGAGTAATGTGAAAATATGAGAATGGAAAACAAAATTTTATTTGAATGAGTCATTCAGAATGATGTTTTAGAAATAAATATTAAATGCTGATATGTTTTGATTTTCTTTCATTAAAACTTGGAACACTTAGTGGTATGTCAGCCATTTGTGGGGGCCTGTGGTAGAAATCAATTAAAAATTACTTTGAATTCAACTTCTACATTTCTATGTCTGTGACTCCCCCCCCCTTTATTTTCTCTATTGCTGTCCTTTGTTTTAATCTCTTCCATCAATCTCCATTTCCTTTTATTTGTTTTGACACTGATGAGTTAAGAACTCATTTGAAAACAAATGCTCCCAAGAAAAAGCAGAATGACAGAATAACCAGTTTCCTCTTTTTGCCTTAACAGATGATGTGGATAAGAAAGTCATCATTTCTTTGATCAAAAAACAGAACACCCCTGAAAAGGGAGATACTGAGGGATGAAATTTACCAAATTATATTGTGTGCATATACAAATATGTAACAATGAATCCCACTATTATGTACAATTGTAATGCACCAATAAAAAATATGAAAAAAAAACTCTCCCATTACTGTATTGTGATTGCTAAGATTTATAAAGCAATCAAAGTTTGCTTAAAAACAAAAATTGGAGGGCTGCGGATATGGCTTAGAGGTATAGCCCCTGCCTAGCATGCTTGAGGCCCTGAGTTCAATCCCCAGCATAGCCAAAAAAGAAAAGAAACAAAAGTTGGTTATTCCAGAGTGTATAATTCAACTTATGAAAGCATAGATTTTAGGTGAACTTACATAGTCTTATAAAAGAGGAAAAATAATTTCAGGAAATGACAGCTTGCATAACCACCCTAACCTAGTAGCAAATTTAAACATTTAAGTGAAACAACCCCTCCAATCTGATTCTAACTTCTGCATCTACCTGATTTCTATACAATAGTTTCCATGCTACTACTGGAATGATTTAACTACCATCTATCTGTCAAACATTTTTTTCAAGTGAGAAGATTGAATTGCAGATGATTCTGTGAATGTCTATATAATCATTTAAGTGGCCTGCTTTTCACTGCTGTCAAATTCAAGGACAGATCATTTGATAACATGGGTGTAGTCTCAAAAAACAGATGAAAGTTAACTATAAGTTTATATGAAAGGCAAGAGGCAAAATGGAGTTTAGAATGTTTGTGTCTGTAACTGACAATTAGTAAATATAAACTAAATAACAGCTTGTAAATTCAAGCTAATTGTGAACCAGTGTAATATTGCTTACATATTTATGTACATACACTTAGTAGAATTCAGCATTAAGTTTAAATCCTACTTAAGCTATTCCCTTAATGTATTTAGGAGAACCAAATCATTGATGCCATTCAATAGTGACTAAATTGTTCTATCAGAATCCACACAGATCACTAGGGGGCAGGAAACTATTATAATATCTTAATATCCTACTCAATGAACTGACCAAAAAAAGGTGATGTAAAGATTACTTGGCTCTGAATTGAATAGTCAGTGTACTAATCATCATTGTACTAAGTAAGAAATCATACAATAGCTCAGAGTCAAAGAATGACAAATTTTTTAAAAACATGATTTCATGTCAGCCAGGAAAAATTTGCATAATACTCTACTTACCTGAGAAAAGAACAGACAAGCATTCAGGCTATAAATTTCAAAAGTGAAAACCAATAGTTTATAGTAGTTGAATAGGCTCAGCTCAATTTCTGATGAAACAATTCTAAGCACTCTGATAATGAAAATCACCTTTCAAATGTTTATGTTCCCTGATATGGAAAAAAAATCATTTTAAGGGACAATTTATTTTTTAATTATGGAATTATAATTATACAAGGCATTATAATTCTAGGCAAAAATATAATTCTACCCAGAATCACTGGGGCTGGTTAAGACAGTTATATGCCTAGGAATTTGAAGGAAAACTTCTTTCTTGTGTATGTGTGTACTTCCTTTTCATTTGCAGAATATATAACAATATTTGAGGAAGGCAATGTTAGCTTCATGGCTGAAGAGAGTAAAAGGAACATGCACTTTTAAATTTGTTTCAATCAGAAATTTGTCATTAAAAAATACATTGTAAAACTTTTTATTTGAAGGAAAAATGTGTCTTAACTTCTTCCTTCCTACTATTCTATTTGTCTGACCTCCTTTTTTATGTTACGTTTTTGTGCCCAACCATTTAGTTCAGACCATACATGCAAGACAAAAATAAAATTCTGCTAAATAAATATAGCAGAATTGTATTAGTAATAATAATATTTGAAAGATGCAATGAGTTATATTCAAAAGTAATTGGGTGATTTTAAATTCTAGAAACTATTCTTTTATTCCTATTCTTTGTTCTTTTTAACAGTGTGCTGGCCTGGTGCCAAAAGCTAAGAAATTCTGACCTAAAAATATGTTGTATCTTGTAGACAGTCAACTTGTAATGTTTTTTTTCTTGAGTTTTGTCTTTTTCTGTGTGGCAGTGGTGAAATAGGGCCTTCTAAACCTCTGGAGAAGTGACAGATCTGAATTTGGAGAGGACATGGGGAAGAATCAATCTTCAACAGATAATCTTTAAGTGCAGACCCAGGAATATCAGATCTGAAGTGGCACCATCTTTTCTGTCTTCCTGACAAACTTCATCAGCCCCAAAAGTTCCAGTTGCAAAGATCCAAGAAAAATAAAGATCACTTTGGAATCACTTTGTTATAACAAAATTGATTCATGGTGACTTTCCTAGTAGTGGTGAAAAATATGCTAAAGTTACTGTAAAATTCTTATGACATCAGTGGTTAAAGCTGCACTAAAATGAAACTTTATATGCTAATTATCTTCAGTGGTCCCTTCTAAAATAAAAGGGCTTTGTAGACTACTATAAATATAAAACAAAGAGATAATCACATATCTCTAAAGAACATATATAATTCTAAACTTAAAATAACCAGAATCATAGCTTATATATTAAGAAATGTAGTTAGGCAGTTTTTTAAAATTCACTGAAAAATATGTAGTTTAAGTGTTAAGTAAAAAGACAGGAGTACAGAGAAGGAAATGTAAGGCCAATATTATAACAAGACAATCTAGTTATTACTCACTGTAAGTAACACTTGCCTTCCTTTCTTTGTTTACCAGGCACATACAAGGTTATTAATATAAGCTCCTCTTTAAGTCTGTTAACTCGAAGAATGGAGTAGTATAATTCCAATAGTGGTACATTTTCACAAATCACAGACACGCTGTTTTCTTCTGAATTTAGCAATATAATCTAATAAGGTAGAATTAATTTCTGTTAAATATTCTCAATATTAATGTACAGTGCCCTGCTCTTCAACTTCAAAATAAAATTCAACAAAGTATTGAGTGAAATGATGATTAACATTTAACATTTTTTAAAAAACCTTTCATGCAGAAATACTTGAGATTTTAACCTGGACACAAATGCATTACAATACACACATACATACACATTCTTAACCACATGACTTATGACCATATTATTTCCTTATTGTGAATATACTGTACTGTTACCTTTGAATAATTATGTAACCAGTTCTTTATTGTTTTTAGTGCAATACCAAGATGTTATATATTTTTAGAAGTGCTGTCTTATTTTTATGCTTATTTCTTCAAATATTGTAGTAAGAAATTGCACAAAGAGATCTAACTTTAAAAATATACTTAAGAGTATATATGCAGGGATTAAGTCACTTAAAAACCTTAGCTGCAAGGTAGGATGATAACTGAATATCTATTATAATAATTAGACTAGCTGAAAATCAGAATTTATTACAATGGGATAGTAGGAATAGATGGGAGAAGGGAGAAAAGAACTCCATTAATGAGATCAAACATGAAAATGTTTCAAAAGACATAAATAAGTCTAGAGAAGTTTTAGAGTCTAAAAAACACTACTATTCATCTCTTGGGAACAGATGAATAGAAACAGAACTGCAGGCTTCTAAAAATAAACAGAAAAAAAAGATAAAAGAATATTACCAATAATTAAAGGTGCCAGATCAATATGAAAATGACAAGTAATTTGATCAACTAAATTTTTATTGAATTAGATTTACTAAAGAAAAATGGCTTAAATTTTGACTGTATTAACTACAAGTGTCATGAATTATAATCATTATAAATGGTATAAATGCCTTCTATGATATGATTATTTTCTGTATATTATAAAATGGAACTTTTGGATTACATAAAGTACTTTTGTTACATTTTTAAATACATGCTTTTACCTAATAAAAGTTACTCCTTTATGTTCAGAAGTTAAACTGTCTGTATTTACTTTTATTTGTACTGTATGTTTTTCAACCTGGATCTTTTAATATACAGTGTCCTGTACATTAAAATAGTCTGAAAAGTTATCAATTCCTCTCATTCTCTAATACTATAATAACAGAATAAACAATATATTTAATTATGGTGTTTCTGCACAATTTTAAAAAAGCACAAAGAGAATTAGCTAAAACTCTTGTGACAAATCCTGGTTTCTTTGAATATAGAATAATGATTGGAAAATGTTATTTCATGGCAAACACAGATGACAACAAATTGGGTTTCCTCATAATATAAAAAGAATATTTTATAAAAAATCCACTGACAGGGGCCAGAGTTATGGCTCAGCAACAAGAGCGCTTGCCTAGCATGCATTAAGCACTGGGTTCAATCCCTGGCACCACATTAAAATAAAGGTATTGTGTCCATCTACAACTAAAAAAAAAAAAAAAAAAAAAATCTACTGACAAAGTCCTTTCAGAGTGTTAATTTCTTTCTCAAAATAGCAAACATAATTTACTATTCAGAAAAATGACTTCTTTGCCAGCAATTAATTCTGTTTATGTTCAAAGATTTTAATAAGTATTAAAAATAATGGCATATGGAGTCTGATTCCCCAAGTACAGGAGAATAGTCTCCCTTTTCCTGGATTGTTTCAAGACTATTCCTCAACTGTCTATCCTTAAAATTAGCCCTCAAAACTGGAAGAGGAACAATTTGTCCACTACTGTCACAGAATGATTTCTTCCAGGTTCAGTTCTTCCATACCAGACACAGTTGTTTCCTAAACCAGCTTATTGTGTATCTACAATTTAACTGTAACTAAAAGACTGGATTTTTAAGACTGAAACAAATGGCAAATTTTTTTCCTGTAGCAACAGGTCATTGAACAATTATTTTAAGAAAGGACACTTTCAAAGGATTATAAAATGGCAGTATTTATAAAGATCTTAAATATAATCATTAGCTGAACTCCAGTTTGCTCAAAGGTCCTCAAATTATAGGGTGTTACTCTTTCTATCTTTTTCCTGCCACCATTACCTCCTCAAAACAATCCACAATCTTTAGGAAGATTGTGAGTGGGTGGGGATTGAGGATTGAGAAGGGTTCCTGGAAAATACAGAAGTTTTTTCTCTCATAGTAATTCTGGGAAAATTTATTCTTTTCAATCTACTTGGGCATATACATAGTTTTAGGCCTCATTTTCTTCATCTTTGTATCTCTAGTACAAATATTTTCAGACAGCAAAGTTGTCTTCAACTTTTGAAATAGAAATAGGAGAGGTAATCAGAAGATCTTTCTCTAAGACAGGAGAAAAATGAAGTTATTATCTACAAGATTCAGGTTAAATGATGTGCTGAAGGTCCCTTCTAACAAACAGGAAGAGGGCTAGGAATGTAGCTCTAAGGTAGCATCTGTGCTTTATATTGGAAAACCTTGGGTTTGATCCTCAGCAACCAAAATAAACCAAAACAAAAACTAGCCAGAAACAAAATATTGAGCTAGAAAATTACTGTGTAGGATAAAAAGATAAAAAAGTTTTGCAACCTCTTTTTTCACTTATATCAAGAATAATTTTGTGTAACATTAAAAACCTTGCAAACAATTTTATGGCTGTATAATAATTCATCATATGCATGTTCTATAATTTACATAATCACTCTCTTGTTATCTATTTAAGTCATTTCCTTTTATTTATGTTGCTAACTTAAATAATAAAACCTGCATTTTCTATTATTTCCTTAGGGCGAAGCCATAAAAAGTAATATTAAATGAAAAGTATGGTCGTATTTAAGAAAAAAAGTTGTCACATAGCCTTCAGAAAGACTATAATATCTGACATCCTCACTGGTAGGGCTTCTCTGTTTTGCTACACCATTAATGGCAAGGATGAATATTACTTGATCATAAATTTGCAAATCTGATAATTTTTAAGACTTTTTAAAATTATGAATCAATTATCAAAAAGAAAAATAAGATTTTTAAAAAACCAATACAAATAAGGAAAATATAAAAATTCCAAGAATAATCAGTATGTGCTAAAAATATTCTATGAATGCAAAAATGTCTTCCATATAAAATCAACAGGCAGATACTGTATCATTTTGGGAAAAAGTTCAGGATGCCACATAAACTATAAAACATTTGAAAATCAATTTACCAGGTAAAAAACTAGAGCAAAAATATATATAGTTATAGCTAATCAAAATATGGTTATAATTGCTACTCTGGTTTAGAAAGTTGTGTTTAAGATGAATGTGGTCATTAGATAACAATATTTCTTTATTATAACTGTGCACAGAGGTAGAACATAGTTACTAAGCAAAAGAACCTCTCCTTTTGAAACTCTAATTTTAGCGTTTGTGTGGGAGAACTCTGGGCCTGCTTGTTTTTTTGCAGTCCTGCTTTGCTTTAAGTAAACGTGTGAGTACAAGAAATAGGAAGATCTTGTGCTTCTCATCAGGTTCTTTCAAATGTAGGTAGGACCCTAGTGCCAAATCACATTATTTCATCAGTTCAAAGAATTAATTAGTATTTCTTTCCAGGCCACTATTTCCCTCTTATCTTAAAAAAAAAATTAAAAAACAAGAATTTCCAAGAATAAAGCCAAGAAATCTGTACTCACAACTTACGCCAGCTTCAATTAGAATGTTTTGATTTTTTCCTCTCGTTTTCCTAATATTTTCTCTAAATGTTTTCCTATTTCTATTTTTTTTTCAACTGCTTTCATGGAAAATAATATGGGTATGATGGTTAAAACCAGTACTGCTTGACCAGTGAGATTAACAAATTCATATTAAAAACTGGGAATTACATACATGACTAAATAAAAAACCTTAAGGTGTTCATTGATTTGATTTTATAGAATTCTGTCAACGGTACCTTTTAGATATAAATAGCTTTTGTGTTTCTCAGGCCAAAATTCTTCTCCCACACTGTCTTACGCAACTTTTTTCCAGGCCATACCAGCATTTAGCCAGCTTCAAAGGATGGCTCCCCTCTCCTGTAACCCCAGGAAAGACCATGGCACAAGACTCCTAAAAGTATCCTGCCCAGCTGTAGAGATTTTGTCTGTACCCCTCCCCTTCTAGTAACAGTAAGCTTCCCGTACAAAGCTCATATACTGGTCTCAACGTTGCCAATATTACAACCTATGTAAACACTGCCTTTCCAACTCTGCTGGCAAACTTCAGCACCTGGCTAGGGCATGTGGCCTCTTCAGGAAGCCCTCCCCAACACCAGTCTCACTCATCGTTCTCCTGGGTTCTCACAGCACCCTTTTTTCCAGCACTTCTCTCCAGTTGTGTTACTTCCTTATCAGACTATCAACCCCGTATGGGGGGCCGTTTGTCTTTTTCCTCTCCACAGTAGGTACCTGTTAAAGCTTGTAGGAATCACTGTCCTCACTTTCCCTCTCCGCCCCAGCCCACCCGAGAAGCTACCGCTCTCTCTACTCCAGGATTCAGCTTCTACCCCAGTCACCTGGGGCCGGGCAGTGCTTCCCTGAGCTTTCCCCACATTCCTGTTGAACACCAACGGACCGTGAACTTTTTCATCTACCTTCACCTGAAGTTACCTGTAACTTCATCACAGGTAAAGAAAATTATCTCACTGGGCTCAGACATAAACCAGTAGGTCATAAACTCGGCAGAGTGTGCGAACGCCAGGGATGCGGGGATCGTGCGGGGAGGGAGCCTGGAGAGTTTTTTGTGGTGCGGGGTTTCGTGAATTTGTTGATTTTTTCCCCTAAAGAACTCAAAGCGACGGACAAAGCACTTGAAGCTGAAAATGAGGGAAGCAGTGCAGAGAACAGGAAGAGGAAACCTGGAGGTTTACAGCGACAGGACGAGCAAGGAACCCTAAAAGCTTGGTCGAGAAAGTGCAACCCTAGGCTCCTGGGAGGCGGGCTGACGACACTCCCGTCTCGCCCCAGGAAGCCGCCCGCGCGCAGCGCAGGAAAACGGCTGGCCTTCCCGGGCTCGTCCTCCCCCGCGCCACGCAGCTTTCACCGAGTGCTTCACGGCCACGGAGCTGCAACGAAACACGCTATATAAAATTTCAAGTCGCTGACCACCGACTCAAAAGAACCTCATTTTTGTCTCCGTCCAGGGGAGCCTCCCCCACCCCCTGTCATGCAGAGGCCGGATCCCCTCAGCTTGAGCCAATCGGGCCGGTTTTGGCCGTATTTATTTGGCACAACCAACTCAAAATGAATTCCCCTTCTTCCTCGGGCTAGGTCAGTCTGGACACCTGGCACTAAAAGCACTTGCGGCCTCGGGACCAATAAATAATCCCCACACCCCGCTCCCCTTCCGCACCTCCTCCCGGCGCCACGCCTCAACCCTTCCTTCCCCGCCCTTACTGAGGAGTCCGCGCTGCTCACTGGCCGCGTGCCCTGCCAATCCTGTGCGCATCGACGAATCCCGCTTCTGGAAAGCCAAGACCGCGGAAAAAGCGCGTACACCTGGCGGGGGCGGGGGGCCGGGGGGCCAGGGCACGAGCCTAACGCCCCCAAGCAGCTGGAGGTACTGGGAGGAGCCTCATTTGCATAACGGCCGTCCTTGGGTCTTCTAGCGAGGGTCGGGGTCCCGCCCCTCACCCAACTAGACATCTGTTGGGCTTCGGGTCGGTCACTCCGACCCAGGCAAGCCTGTGGCTGGGCTGGAAGAGTTTGTGCGGGCGGTCCCGGGAGCGGATTGGCTCTGGGAGTTTCCAGAAGGCGGCTATAAGAGCGGGGAACCCGGAGGGGGGAGCAGGGAGGCTGGTTGCGCTCGCGGAGAAGCAGTGCGAGGTGACCGTTAGTTGACGCCGCGGACTGCCTCTCCCTGGTTTTCTCGTCCTAACATCGCTCGTTTATCTTTCAGTCAGGATGTCCGCCCGCGGCCCGGCTATCGGCATCGACCTGGGCACCACCTACTCATGCGTGGGGGTCTTCCAACACGGCAAAGTGGAAATCATCGCCAATGACCAGGGCAACCGCACCACCCCCAGCTACGTGGCCTTCACGGACACCGAGCGCCTCATCGGCGACGCCGCCAAAAACCAAGTGGCCATGAACCCCACTAACACCATCTTCGACGCCAAGAGGCTGATCGGTCGCAAGTTCGAGGACGCCACGGTGCAGTCGGACATGAAACACTGGCCGTTCCGGGTGGTGAGCGAGGGAGGGAAGCCCAAGGTGCAGGTGGAGTACAAGGGGGAGATGAAGACCTTCTTCCCCGAGGAGATCTCCTCCATGGTCCTCACTAAGATGAAGGAGATCGCAGAAGCCTACCTGGGGGGCAAGGTGCAGAGCGCGGTCATCACGGTCCCCGCCTATTTCAACGACTCGCAGCGCCAGGCCACTAAGGACGCGGGCACTATCACGGGCCTCAACGTGCTGCGCATCATCAACGAGCCCACGGCGGCTGCCATAGCTTACGGCCTGGACAAGAAAGGCTGCGCAGGTGGTGAGAAGAACGTGCTCATCTTTGACCTGGGCGGCGGCACCTTCGACGTGTCCATCCTGACCATCGAGGATGGCATTTTTGAGGTGAAGTCCACGGCCGGTGACACCCACCTGGGCGGCGAGGACTTCGACAACCGTATGGTCAGCCACCTGGCAGAAGAGTTCAAGCGCAAGCACAAGAAGGACATTGGGTCCAACAAGCGCGCGGTGCGGCGGCTGCGCACCGCCTGCGAGCGCGCCAAGCGCACGCTGAGCTCGTCCACACAGGCGAGCATCGAGATCGACTCGCTGTACGAGGGCGTGGATTTCTACACGTCCATCACCCGCGCCCGCTTCGAGGAGCTCAACGCGGACCTCTTCCGCGGGACCTTGGAGCCGGTAGAGAAGGCGCTGCGCGACGCCAAACTGGACAAGGGCCAGATCCAGGAGATTGTGCTGGTGGGTGGTTCTACCCGTATCCCCAAGATCCAGAAGCTGCTGCAAGATTTCTTCAATGGCAAAGAGTTGAACAAGAGCATCAACCCCGACGAGGCGGTGGCCTACGGCGCCGCAGTGCAGGCGGCCATCCTCATCGGAGACAAGTCGGAGAACGTGCAGGACCTGCTACTACTAGACGTGACTCCGTTGTCGCTGGGCATCGAGACGGCTGGCGGCGTCATGACCCCACTCATCAAAAGGAACACCACGATCCCCACCAAGCAGACGCAGACCTTCACCACCTACTCAGACAACCAGAGCAGCGTGCTGGTGCAAGTGTACGAAGGCGAACGGGCCATGACCAAGGACAACAACCTGCTAGGCAAGTTCGACCTGACTGGGATTCCCCCGGCACCCCGTGGGGTCCCCCAGATCGAGGTCACCTTCGACATTGATGCCAACGGCATCCTCAACGTCACCGCTGCTGACAAGAGCACTGGTAAGGAAAACAAAATCACCATTACTAACGACAAGGGTCGTCTGAGCAAGGATGACATTGACCGGATGGTTCAAGAGGCGGAGCGGTACAAGTCGGAAGATGAAGCTAATCGCGACCGGGTGGCAGCCAAAAATGCGGTGGAGTCCTATACCTACAACATCAAGCAGACGGTGGAAGACGAGAAACTGAGGGGCAAGATTAGCGAGCAGGACAAAAACAAGATCCTCGACAAGTGTCAGGAGGTGATCAACTGGCTTGACCGAAACCAGATGGCAGAAAAAGACGAGTATGAACACAAGCAGAAAGAGCTTGAAAGAGTATGCAACCCCATCATCAGCAAACTTTACCAAGGCGGTCCTGGCGGCGGTTCTGGAGCGTCCGGGGGACCTACTATTGAGGAAGTGGACTAAGGCTTGCACTTAAATCAGCGTAAATCTCTTTTCCTTTCTCTTTTTTCCCCCTTTTGTTTTGGTTTCTTTGAAATGTCCTTGTGCCAAGTATGAAATCTATTGTTGAAAGTCTTTAGCCTGGTGTATGCATATGAAAGGAAAGGTACAACAACTTAGTTTAACTATAAAAGGTTAGTTCTAAAGTTTAATTTTGAGGAAAAAAAGATTTGCGGTTTCTCTTTAATGCATTTGTGTCATTGCTGATTTGAGCATTTTTTGGTTTACTTTAGTTTGTGCATGGATATTTGTTTGAGATGGGAAACCTGGCCTTTGCACACCTGTCCTATGGAAGCTTAGTAACAAAATACATAAATGCTTAAAACTGTTTATTTTTATGTACTACTTTAAGACTAAGCATCACAGTGATCTTAAGGACAGGTATATTTTGCAAATAAATGCAAATTTCAAGTAAAGCTGAAATTGATCTCAAACTTATTGTCTTGGAGTTTTTCAATTTTACCTCCTTCCCATGTTTTATTCATGTTGGTTTTTAAAATGTTAGTGTGATGTGAAATTTATCTAATCCAATATTCTCTAATTCTCAGATGAAGTTCCCGCCTTGAATTATCAACAACTTAAGGGGAGAAGAATCTGGGTAAACTTTTCTTCTCCCTTTTTAACCTGACTGGGGTCTTCTAGTATACCCAGGCTCCTAAGACCTGGTTTAAGTGTTCTACTGAAAATCCACTTGACTATTCCAGGAAAATACAAGCTATATTTTGGGGTTAAGTATAAAAATGATTGATTTTTTTTAACCTAGTGGAGGCAGAAGTTATCTTCTCATTATAGTCAAAGGTAGTATAAAAAAAAGTTGTATTTTGTGACATACAGGTGCCTGTAAGTCACTTTAAAGCTTGCCTGCTTTAGAGTTTAAAAGTGACTTAACATTAAGTACAGATCAAGTCAAATTTGTTTTAACTTTAATTTTCTAGCAAAACAGCTCAACTTCTGAGTTTGTGGAAAATTCTATAAGAACATGTTTCCAGCAGTTGTAACTATTGGGAGATAGGGGAAGATGATCTATAGGCCCCTCTCCCATTTGAAGCTCATAATGTTTTTGCAGTACTTGCCTCACAAATCACTATAATAAACTTTTTTTTAATATTTATTTTTTAGTTATAGGTGGACACAATATATTTTATTTGTATGTGGTGCTGGGGATCAAACCCAGTGCCTCACACATGGTAAGCGAGCACTCTACCTCCAAGCCACAGCCTCAACACATAAACTTCTTTTTTAAAAGGCAAACTACAAGATAGTACTGTATATTGTTAATATACAACATGACCATTTATCTTTCTGATTTGAGATTGTTACAAATAGAATATTTCAAACCCTTTGGAAATCCACATCCTTGGGAGAAGGTGGTTTTTATTATTTTTTTAAATGGAATGACACTTCTGCTTTATTCTCATTTATTTCCTTTAAAGGGAATTTAGGAGAAATTCAGTAAACTTTATTGGAAAAAATTCATAGTTTTAACCCAATGTTTTCACTGTATAAATGTCCTTTTATCTCTTTCCAAGTGAAAAGATTTTCCTCATGTTGTTCAAAGATAATTGGATTATAAAATTATATAAATTATGAATTATAAAAACTTTATTTTCAATCTAGCAGCAGACCCTTTGGGGCCATAAAGAGACTAATTTTTGGAATAATAGTATGAGTAATAATTTAGGGCTTCTCACACAATAGTTGACCCTTACATACAGATAAGTTTTACTTTAGTCTCACTTGGGTCAGGGGAGAGAGAAGAAGATAAATAGGCAATTGTGAAATTACTTCAGAATACTTCTTAAGAAATTTAAAGGTGATTATTAGAAAAGCTGATGGTAACTTGGGTTTATTAGTGTTAGTGTTATAGTGGTGGAAAGTTTTTGGCAATGGGTGTTTCTTTGTCTACACATAGCATCACATAAATGTTTGACAAACTAGTACTGACAGAATCAGGTAAACAGTGGCTTTAAAGTGACTTTTTCTTTTTCTTTTTTTTTTTTTTTTTTTTTTTTGTGGTGTTGGGGATTGAATCCAGGACCTTGTGCATGCAAGGCAAGCATTCTACCAATTGAGCTATATCCCCAGCCCTAAAATGACTTTTTTACGTGAGTTTTACCAAGTTAATATTCATACTATTGCCCTTTTCCAGTTCTTTGCTGAAAGTGTTGATCTTTTGTTCTGACTTCAAAAAATAATATCTTTAAGTGCAATTTGGTATTAGTATGACTATTTTAAACCTCATCATAGAAATTAGTTTCTAAAGTCTTAAACTGACCTTTGGTAGTCCTTGATCATATGGCCTGGCCTCCTGCAACCAGCTATTGTCCTAACCTTAATGTATTAGATGCTTTATTTTCTGTTGTTTTAAAAAATAATTTATACACTTTTAGCTGCCTTGAGTGTTTTTAAATTTAATTCTTCTCAAATTTACCTGAATTCAAATATTACTAAGATAAAGGCACCAAAGTGGCCATTTAGTGTTTCCCAGGAGTTAGTTGAAACTGGTAACCCAAGAACTCTGGGAACTCCTTAGAAGATGTAAGGCCAGCCATAGTCAAATAACAGTGGAAAAAGTACTTGATGTTAGGATAGGGCTAAATTACAGTTTAAGGAATCATTAACATCACTTGAACTCAAAAGTAGTAAAACTGTGACTACTGATCACGATTAAAGCAAATGTACTATATATAGATGCTAAGAGATTGGAAAGATATATTTCTCCAGGCACTTACATTCTTATCTGAATGTATGATTAAAGGTTGTCCCTGTTTTAAGGTGATAAATCTAGACATCTATTACAATAAGACACGACAGATTATTTACAGAATTTGAGGTGTGTGACATTTCAAAAACAATCTCACTTTGTTTTGTACAGTAACTAGTCAATGGAAAGGCATTAAAACTTGTACATTAGGAGATACTAATGCTATTGACATCTTTAAACTTACATGCATAAATAGGATATTTAATACACCACCTGTTCAGTATGTCAGAGATTTTAAATGATAATTTAATTATTGGTATTATGTATTAACCAGGAATACAGTGGCTCTTTCTGGATAAAATCAAAGGTCTTTTTATGAAGCTAAATGGGGCCTATAAGACATTGCTACTTTAAATTGAATATAGTTTATAAACATTGTGTTGAGAGGTGGTCTTGGTGGCACATGCCTGTCATCCCATAATGACTGGGAGGCTGAGACGGGAGGATGGTAAGTTTAAAGCCAGCCTCAGCAAAAGGCAAGGCACAAAGCAATTCAGTGAGGACATGTCTCTAAATAACATACAAAATAGGGCTGGGGATGTGGTTCAGTGGTACTCAAGAGTACCCATGAGTTCAATCCCCAGTACAAAAAAAAATTTGTTGAGAGACATATTCCCTTGATTTTTGAATACTAGAATTTTTTTTTAAATCATATGCCACAAGACAATTGCTAAGAGAATTTATATATAGCTTACAATATGTGAGTAAACTGTTTTGAATTAATTACAGAATTAGAAATTAGAGGCAGAATTTTGTTCCTTGGAGAAAAATTATTGATCTTCAGAAAGAGTGCAGTTTTTTAAAAAATATTTTTAGTTGTACATGGACACAATATATTTTTTTTATGTAGTGCTAATAACTGAAACTAGTGCCTCACATGTGTTAGGCAAGTGCTCTACCACTGCACCATACAACCCCAGACCAGTTTTTATTTTTTTAAATATTTTTTTTTAGTTGTAGTTAACACAATATCTTTATTTTAACCTAAGGCCTTGAACGTGCTAGACAAGTACTCTACTGCTGAGCCACAGCCCCAGCCCCAGTTTTTATTTTTGATATGACTCTTGGAATGGAAATATTTTAGGGGTTTTGCATTTTTGAAATTGTATAGTGTGATACTTAATGTTATATTTCCCTTAGAACAAATCAAGAAGTCATAGGCCCTTTCCTTGACCCCTTTCATTGTAGATCAGGTTGTTTGTGAATTGATGAGTAGGGAAATAAGCAACCTATTCAGAATTTGATATTGCCATTTTCTTTTATGGAAAATTAATTTTTAAGGTAGAATTATAACTAAGTCTGCCCTTATGACTTTTTCATAGTATAAGCATACACTGTATTCAGTTAATATCTTGAGCCTAAAGTTTGAGACCAACAGCTTACTTCTGTGTTATATGCTCTTAGTTATACTTTGAGGAGTATAACTTTTTCCCTTAATTAGGCAAAAAAAAAAAAATGTCTTGTAGGGCACTTGGAATTATTAGCTATTTATAAGTCATCTTTATATTCCTACTTTAAAGGTCACAAATTGTTTTTCTTTAAATAAATACATTTCTAGGGTAGGTTGTAAATTTCTAGTGCTATTTTAAAAATAAAAACCTAAAAAGAATTCTTAAGTAAAGTGATAGAGAATTCTAAGATGGTCCATCAGAGTTACTGAAGTTTCTCTTTAAACATTGTTTTTCTAGAACATTCGAAATAACTTGTGTAGATATTTTGAGTTCTCAATAACTTATTTTTTAGCATTCAAATTATGCATAGATTTAAATGCCTTTTGTACTAGAAATAATTTTTCTTTTTTTATTAATTTATCTTAATTTGGTATATATGACAACAGAATGCATTTTGATTCATTGTACACAATTGCAGCACAACTTTTCATTTCTCTGGTTGTACATGATGTAGCATCACACCATATGTGCAGTCAAAATGTACCTAGGGTAATGACGACCATCTCATTGTACCCTCTTTCCTGCCCTCCCTCCCCTTTGCCCAATCAAAGTTCCTCCATTTTCCCCATGCCTCCCCCCTCCCCATTATGGATCACCATCCACTTATCATAGAGACCATTCTGTCTTTGTTTTGGGGGGATTGGCTTACTTTGCTTAGCATGATATTCTCCAACTCTACCCATTTACCTGAAAATACCATAATTTTATTCTCTGTCAATAACATTTTTTACCTTAGTTTTGTATATTACACTGCCTGAGTTACACTATGGTATGGTATATAAGATCTTTGGTTTTTCATTAAAACTTCATACATTTGGGGGAGCAATTTGAAGAGTTTAATGACCACACTCTGAGTATGATTGTGAAATGACTGAATTCCATCCAGATTCCATCCAGATTTCTTTCTCAGACTTTCCGGGGAGCTTTTCTTCATTTTTTTCTCCCTGTTTTCCCCACCTCAAGTTATGTACATTGTTTGAAAAAAAGACTTTTGGCATCTGGAATATTTCTCTTGTCCTTTCAAGGTAGTCATCTGGTAGTAAGCAAGCCTATCCTCAGTGTCAAAACAGCACTGCCAATGTATACATGGGTTTCCATATATCTGAGCCAACCTGAACAGCTACCAGAATGGATCTAGATGATTACGATTTTATAGTTTATCCTGATATAATCAGTAATTGTCACCAAGTAGTGAGATGGGAGGGTAGGGGTAGGAATCGGCAGGGTATCTCTAGCCACAATTTTAAAGTTTATGGGAGCATAAAAATCCTAACTACTGAGTATCTTTTATGCTATTTAAACTATAGCAAACTATTAGGTATTCCTAATCATGTTGCATTGCTTGCTTCTGTGTTGGAAGGGGAAAATATCAACCAAAATCTGCATACCAATTCAATTGCAAAAGGAAATTACAAGATATGTGATTTGAAAAGTGAAAAATATATGTAAAAATAGCAACTTAATTACACATTTACACCGAGCACGTTTTCTGAGTTGAGCAACACTAATTTTGAGTACTTAATTAAGGCTGGTGCTTTACACACACAACTATGAAAATCTTCATAACTCCTGATTTGGGTATTTTCAGAAGCAGGATGGGAGCTGTTTTACCCTAGGTTCCACAACTGGTGAAGAGGCAGAAATGTTCTGAAAATCTCTGGTGTCCCATTCACTAGGCCACACTACTTCTTCCCTCCCAACACCTCAAAATCAACGTAGGTCCAACCTACTTAATGTAGAAAGGTGGGAACAGACAGTTCTTCCCTATAGGAGGGAATTTAGTTGCTGCTTTGAAACAACGCAGAAGTGTACTATCACCGCGGGAATGCCCTCAAGTCCTGCGCAGCTTTACTACGGGGTCAGACAGTAAACCGATCCAGCGAAGATTGCGAGGTGCTAACGGAGCACCGGGTGGGGCTTTAGGGACCTGGAGAGAAGCGCGAGTCCCGCCGACACGCGGCGGAAGCAGCTCCCGACCCCGCCCCGCGTCCGGTGAGCCAGCGCCCGCGACGGGTAGCCTGGGCGACGCTGTGAGGCGGCCAGGGTGCGGCCAGGGTGCAGCCATGTACCGGCTGCCCGAGTCTAAGAGGAAGCGGTGGGACAAGCAGGCCCCTTCCCGGCAGGACGTACAAACCGCCTGTGTCCTCCCCTCTCCCGGGGCTGGTGAAGGCGGCCCTGCTCTCCCGGATCGGCAATCGGCGCCGCGGGCGACGGTGGCAGGCTCGGCGGGTGCCCGGGACAACAACCTACCGGCACCCGCACGCCCTCGTCCTTTGCTGCGCTCCGTGACCTCCTCCACAGGCGGGTCGCCGCCTTCCTCCGGGACCGGTAGTTCTCAAAAACATACCGGCATATTTGCCCACAAAAACAGACCTAGAGAGGTACATTGAGCAGTAGGTAGGAATTGAATTCTGGCTCCACACGCAGATGTTTAGATGCTCGTGAAAGCCCCCCTCACCACCTCTGATTGGAGGGTTGCAAAGTAGCCCAACAGCTGGGGAGCGTCGGGGGTGGGGGCAGAGAAGCAGCCCTGTTCTGGATAGGACCCGGGGCAAGGAGGGGCTGGTGGGTTGCTCTCTACCACTACCTGAAAGGGTTTTGGAGATTGCCTCGGAACGGAGGGCGAAGGGTTTTGAGCAGGCTGCTGTTTTGTGTCCAGCTCAGGTCAAAGGTTGTGGCCATGCTCGGCATCAATTTATTTTGTCCCAAATATTTTTGTCCGATGAATCTTGAGTTATGTGCAGTTTAAATTTTCTTTCTTCCTCCCTTTCCTTTCCTGAGCCGTCCCTTCTTTCCTCTTCCTACTTTCTTCCCTCCCTCCCTCCCTTCCTACTGAAACCAAACCAAAAAGCAATCAAAAACGATAAGTTAAAAATACACTTTTAAGATTCTACATCTTTATTGACTAGAGTTTAAAAAAGACGTGTGAGTTATTAAAGGTTTATGTAACATGTGGTTTGAAAATTGAACTTTTAATTATTTTTGCTTCAATCATTTCATTTTGCAGCAATCAGGATTACAGTTAGGGATGTGGTACTGGAAAGATGAAACCAAAACTCTTGAATTCAGAAGGTAAATTTTAATAAAACTTTATTAGCAGTTTTATAAAATTACATATGTGTGGGATAAAAAATAAGCAATGTAGAAAAGTATAGAGATTCTGGAAGCTAAGAAATACACAGGAATATATATCTTCCCTACTGCTAGAAAAATAAATATTTAACCAGTGTGTTCCCTTTATAGTATTATTTAGCATTATTCTACAAAAAGGATATTTTATATTACTAGTTGGAATTATTGCCTAATTCTATCTCATTCTTTTGACCACAATTTCAAATATGTAACATTACAATTTGTATTGAAAAAAAAGTATAGAGAATAAAATAAATATCTGGTGAAGTCCCACTATCTGGAGATTATCATTTTACTGAACAGCCTTGCAGACATCACTTTCTGTTAATTAACCCTTACCAGCTGCTTCCCATGTACCAGCCTTTCTACTAATCAGTCCACAAACCCTTTGAAACAGCTGCTATCCAGTTTACAGATAAAGAAACTGAGGTTTCAAAGGGCTAAGTGATTTGAAAATTAAGTAACTTGGTCCAATAGCATAGCTCATAAGTGACTAAGAAGATTTAAATGTATGCATGTTTGGCTCCAGAGTCCATATTCTTAATACTGTGTAAAATTGCCTTTGTAAGTTATAGAAATAGTTTTACATGAGTGGGATCATATTACACCTCCTGCAATGATGGTACATTTTATAAGGAAATATAATTAGATTAGAAAAACTAATCTAAAATCCTGAATCTAGCTGGGAGTGGTGGCACATATCTGTAATCCCAGTGGCTCAGGAAGCTCGGGTAGGAGGATCACGAGTTCAAAGCCAGCCTCAGCAATTTAACAAGGCACTAAGCAACTCAGTGAGACCCTGTCTCAAATTAAAATACAAAAAAGGTCTGGGGATGTTGCTCAGTGGTTAAGTACCCTGCTATCAATAGAAAAAATAAATACTGACTCTAAAACTATATAACTAAACTGATAATACTAGCCACTACTTGTGTATCTAGTGCATATTTTTCTAATTCTTATAAATAGCTATGTGAAGTGAGCATTAATATTCTCATTTTATGGGGGCTGGGTTGTGGCTCAGCAGTAGAGTGCTCGCCTAGCACATGAGAGACCCTGGGTTCCATCCTCAGCACCACATAAAAATAAATAAAGGTATTGTGTCCAAACAACTACAACTAAAAAATAAATATTTTTAAAAATTTTTAAAAATATTCTCATTTTATTGGTGAAGAAACAGAGGGTCAGTGAGATTAAGCAAAGTCATATAGACATTGAGTAGCACAACTGATAGTTTGAACCAAAATTAGTCTGATGCCAAAGCCCTTTCCACTTACAAGCTCTCTCCCTCTATTAGACTGTAAGCCCCTCAGCAGCAGAAAATGCCTTACTCATCTTCATGTCCCAGGAACTTTACAGAATGGGTGCTCAACAAATGTTTATTGAGATGTTCAGTTAACCAGCTGGATTCAAGTGGAGGAATACTAGAGGTAGGGGACCAATCAGAAGGCCATTGATTGCAGGATTAGAGATAGTTATAGTAAGTAGCAGAATTAACTCCATGCAGTTAAAAACAGAAGGGTGAAGGACAAAGAAATATTTAAGAGGTGGAATTGACAGAATGTTTGGATAAAATTGATAGAATATAAGTGGCTGGATATAAAAGGAGAGGGGAAGTAGGTGTCTTTATTGACTCCCAGGTGTCTGAGTGGAGAAAGTGAGTGGCTAGGCTTGCCCTTCACTCAAATACAGATTAAAAGACACAAATGTGTGTTTGAGTTTGCTCTGACATGTTCACATGAATATGACTCTTCAGCTGTTGGACAAATGGGGCTGGAGGCCAGGAAGAACTTTGCTAAGTATATATAGTTACATTATAAATATAATGACATGGAGGTCAAACAAATAATTAAAAGGCTTCACATTTTATTAGCATCAAAATTAAGTTTCATAGAATATATTTGTTCCAGGATTAAGGAATCTTTTATGTCCAAAGTAGTAATTTTAGTTTTGCTTTTTTTTCCCTCAGAAATGTCATAGAAGATTCTGTTTGGCAGCTTCTAAAGCATTACACTTGGTGACTGTGAGACAGACAGCTGTGGTATTAAATGAAAGACTAGTCACAGGAATCAAAATAGAATGTGGGTCTAAAATTTTCCTATATTTGCCTTCATCTACATATAGATACATACAGATATACATATCTATTCTTCATACCATATGTATATCACTATGTATCTATATGTAGATATAGACATATATAGGTGCTGGGGATCAAACCTAGCATGCTAGGCAGGTACTCTACACTGAACTACATCCCCAGCCCTCTTCATGTATATTTAAGGACTATCTTAGGTAGTGACATAGTGCTTCAGGAGGCTGAGGCAGGAAAATCCCAGATTTGAGGCCAGCCTGGGCAATTTAGCAAGAACTTGTCTCAAAATTTAAAAAATTATGTGGCCTACGCACATACATTCTGGGACAGTTTGAGGAGGTGTAGAAAGGAACATGATGAAGAATAGATAGGGACAGCCCTTTTGTAAGATGTAAATTACAAAAGAGCTGTAAGGAGATGTAACTCAGTGGTAGAGGGCTTGTCTAGCACATGTGAAGTCCTGGGTTTGATCTTCAATAATGAAAAATAAAATAAATATAAATAAAGGCCATCTTAGCCCTCTTTAATGAAAATTGTACCATACTTACTGAACTTCTGTATAAATGAAGTTAATTGGCAGTATTTTTAAAAAATATTTACTCTTTTTAGTTGTAGTTGGACATCATACCTTTATTTATTTATTATTAAGGGATGCTGAGGATCGAACCCAGGGCCTCACACATGCTAGGTGAGCACTCTACTGCTGAGCTACAATCCCAGCCCAGTTAGCAGTACTTTTCAAACTAATCTTCAGTGCTAATCCAGGTAGCACTATTTCATATTTGAGCCTACTAATAAACTTACAGATAATCAGTTTCATAGTTTTTCATATTTATAAATTATTCATATTCACAAGCTAAAGTTTCTTTTGTTACCAAATTGTTATTAAAATATGACTTGATTTGATTTCCCCTAGTTTTAGAGATGGTATGACTTAAAATATTGGTTGTAATTAATTGTCTATTTTAAAAAAGCTAGAGAGGTTTATAATTGTACCCAACACAAAGAAGTAATAATTGTTTAAGGTGATAGATACACCAGTTACCTTGATTTGATCATGATATTATATAAATGTATTGAAATATCACAGTGTACCCCAGTTACTATATGTTGATTAAATGTATTAAAAAATAATATCTAAGTCACATGGTATAATATTGTCCCAAAAAGGCTAGATACAAAGTGTAAATACTGCTGGGCACAGTGGAACATGCCTATAATCCCAGTGATTTGGGAGGCTGAGGCAGGAGCCTCAAGCGAGTTCTAGGCCGGCCTCACCATCTTAGTGAGACCCTGTCTCAAAATGAAAAAGGGCTGGGGATGCAACTCAGTAGTTAAATGCCCCTGGGTTCAATCCCCAGTACCAAAAATAAATAAATACCCCCCAAACACCAAAGCCCCCCAATGAAAAAGTAAATGGTTGAATGAATGGTTATATGTGTGTAAAACTTTTTAAAACAAAAGGAATTGCCATGATAGAAGTAAAAAAATAGCAGTTACCTTTAGGGGTATTATCAGCTGGCACATAGTGGGGGACAGTACAAGGGAACCTGCCCATGTACTGGAAATGGTTTTTATGTGTTGGTGGTAGTTACGTGGGTATATACATATTAAAAACTTGATCACGCTTTATACTTAGGATTTTTTAAAAATTTTTTATTGTTGGTTGTTCAAAACATTACATAGTTCTTGATATATCATATTTCACACTTTGATTCAAGTGGGTTATGAACTCCCATTTTTACCCCGTATACAAATTGCAGAATCACATCAGTTACACATCCATTGATTTACATATTGCCATACTAGTGTCTGTTGTATTCTGCTGCCTTTCCTATCCTCTACTATCCCCCCTCCCCTCCCCTCCCCTCTTCTCTCTCTACCCCCTCTACTGTCATTCATTTCTCCCCCTTGTATTATTTTCCCCTTTCCCCTCACTTCCTCTTGTATGAAATTTTGTATAACCCTGAGGATCTCCTTCCATTTCCATGCAATTTCCCTTCTCTCTCCCTTTCCCTCCCACCTCTCATCCCAGTTTAATGTTAATCTTGTTCTCATGCTCTTCGTCCCTACTCTGTTCTTAGTTACACTCCTTATATCAAAGAAGACATTTGGCATTTGTTTTTTAGGGATTGGCTAGCTTCACTTAGCATAATCTGCTCTAATGCCATCCATTTCCCTGCAAATTCTATGATTTTGTCATTTTTTAATGCAGAGTAATACTCCATTGTGTATAAATGCCACATTTTTTTTTATCCATTCATCTATTGAAGGGCATCTAGGTTGGTTCCACAGTCTTGCTATTGTGAATTGTGCTGCTATGAACATCGATGTAGCAGTATCCCTGTAGCATGCTCTTTTTAGGTCTTTAGGGAATAGACCTAGAAGGGGAATAGCTGGGTCAAATGGTGGTTCCATTCCCAGCTTACCAAGAAATCTCCATACTGCTTTCCAAATTGGCTGCACCAATTTGCAGTCCCACCAGCAATGTACAAGTGTACCCTTTTCCCCACATCCTCGCCAGCACTTGTTGTTTGACTTCATAATGGCTGCCAATCTTACTGGTATACTTAGGATTTATTTGCTTTAGTACTTATAAGTTACAACTCAATTTAAAACAAAAATTAAATACCCCAAGTAGAGATTATGTGGCCTACACACATACATTCTGGGACAGTTTGAGGATATGTAGAAAGGAATATGATGAAGAATAGATAGGGACAGCCCTTTTGTGGTGAAGCTGTTTCAAGTTTTAGTAACTCAGTTTGGCAAACCTTAGGTTACCTTAAGTGTCCTGCTATTAGGGACAGTAGTACTAAGGTGGAGGAAAATAGACCTTTGTATATTTTATGGCCAGAGTTAGTGTTTGGGTTCAGTGGAAATATAGGTGCTGATTTCTTATTAAAGTCTGAACATATCTGAGTGGGCAGTGGTTGGAGTAGAAGCTGCAGAGGTGGCAGGCTTGTCCAGGAACCCTTACTGAGTACATGGGCTGCATTTCTGCTCTAGAAAGCTCCTCCCATGGGAACACTGAGGAGCAAGATTCCAATTAGGTGGATAATCTTAGAGGGAGGGGGTAGGACCTAGATGAATTCTAACAGAATAGAGAGATTAGGACAGTAGGTGAGTCAGTAAGCATGTAGAGGGGTTGAAAGATTTAGTTATACAGGTAATAAATATACCTTCTTATTATTAAACTATTCAAATAATGCAGAAACATACAGATGTGGAAGACAGATTTCTTTACCACTATCTCGTCTCTGCCCCAGCCCTCCACCCCTCATTGGAATAGCCACCATTAACAATTGGTATTCTTAAACTTATTTATTTTTCTTGCCTTTCCCCCACCCTAATAACTCAGTACACCCTCCCCCATGATCCCAATCCTTGGAGACCAATGATAAGAGGAACATCAGAAAGAATAAAAAGCGTGGAAATCATCCATTGGCCAGCATGGTGCCAGTGTCTTCAAAAAGGAAAGGAAAAGAAAGGTGGAAAAATACAAGTAATCCATTCTCTTGAGGTGACATCATGTACTTACTTTTTGGAGCTGACATATGATACAACAGGACATTAGGAGGTTGGCCAAACTGCTGGGGAGGTATTCCTCCAAAATAATTCCTTGCTGAGATTTGATAAGGAGGCAATAAGGATCTATATGATTGATATTCATCTTTAGAGAATGACTAAAACTGGGGGAAAAGTACTTCCATTACTCTATCTACATTTCAGCTTAATAGAGGCACATACAACTTTGGGCAGAGATAAAGCTACTGGTTGGGTTATCAATGCCATATTGTTTCCAAGCAGAAAAGCAATTCATAACCCACACTGGGCCACCAAACCAATGTATGTAGCAAACACCACAGTTGTGGAAAATATATTCTCTCTAAGGTAGGAACCATATCCTACTGATCTTTGAAAGACTTCTATTTTCCTGTTAGCATTTGCTGATATTCTGAGAGCGTGCATTGGCTGTAATCAGATACCATCTCATGTTCACTGTCAGCAATTGCTGACAAAAGTCTCAGGGGCCTCAGTATAAATTTGTTGTTTTTTGAGGTCTCTTGTTAATTAGATCCATTACTGCCTAATAAGTCTTATACTGCCTGTAAGGAAACCCTGAGTCAAGTAAAGGGTTCTGAAAACTTCCTGGAGACAGGCAAGTTCTTGAGAGGGGTTCAAAATTACCAAGATGACTTCTTGGGGGCAGGATTGCCTGGTGGCTAAGCCCATAGCTCTGTGGCTAGAGAACCTGGGTGCCCATCCTGGCTTTGCCATTTATTATGTGATCTCAATCAAGTTACTTAATCTCTTTCTAAGCTTCAGTTTTTCCCAGATATAAAAATGGTGTTAATATTATTTTTCTCATAGAGTTGCTATGAGGATTAAATGAGATTGTGCTGCCTGGCATGGGCACATGCCTGTAATCCCAGCGACTAGGGAGGCTGTGGCAATAGGATCAAGTTCAAAGCCAGCCTCAGCAACTTAACAAGGTCCTAAGCAACTTAGCAAGACCTTGTCTCAAAATTAAAAATAAAAAGGACTGGGGATGTAGCTCAGTGGTAAAGTGCTACTGGGTTCAATCTCCAGTACCAAAAATAAATAAATAAATAAGATTGTTCCTAAAAGCATCTGGCCCATAACAAGTACTCGATAAATTTTTAAAATCCCTCCAAACTTAGTGAGGTTTCTGCTTCTTGAGAAGTTACTACAAGATTTTTAGATAGAAATTTTTGTGTATGGTAGTATTGTGGAGGCTGCTGAGGCTGAGAGCCTAATGTAAAATCTGAAGTTTTAATCATTCTGTGTATAAATACATAAACGGAACACTGTTGTGCCCAAAAATATTTGGCCTCTGCTCATAATATATGCCATCCTAAGGTTGTATGAGTTATGATCATGATGTGATTAGTTTTTCCCTGGGAAAACATCAAGTTACTAATCATCTCATTTCTATTGCAGTTTTATATCTTCAGTAGAACTCAAGGAAAAAGGAAAGAAAGGCAAAGCCGTTCACTTTGCTGAAATTGATGGCCCCGCTTCAGAAAGGTGGTTTCACTTCTCATCCATGTCAGTTCTGCCAATGGTGCCTCTCAGTGGAATCATTTAAGTCTTTACAAACTCTAAGTTCCATTATCTCAGGCTGAAATGCAGTACCAATAAAGGAAAAATGAGGCACTACCTCAGAATTATAGTGGGAGTTACAAATCATCCCTATAAATGTATCTGAAATAACTTGGCTGTTAGTACATTTCAATTTTTTAGTTTTCTTTTAATCTGAATATTGTAACTATCCAGAAATAGATGATTGAAATGATCTCTTTTGGATGGAATATATGTGTGTGTGTGTGTGTGTGTGTACCGTACATATGATATTAGGGGTTGAACAGGGCCTTGCACATGCTGGGCAACTAACTCTACCACTGCATCACATCCCCAGCCCTATGTGTACATTTCATATCAGACAGTGTATATTCCTTTTACATCTAGCATAATAAATATAATGTTTAATAAGACACATCCCCAAATGATATTTCATTAAATGAAACCCATGCATAACTCTGAGGATCTCCTTACTTTATAGTAAATGATTCACACACTGCAAGATAGAGTAGATACAACTAAAACCTTTTAAAACACTGGGGGCTGGGCATGGTGGTGCACACTTGTAATCCCAGTGGCTCAAGAGCTGAGGTAAGAGGATTGCAAGTTGAAGGCCAGCCTTAGCAACTTAGTGAGACCCTGTTTCAAAATAAAAAAGGCTGGGGATATGGCTAAGTGGTTAAATGCCCTTGGGTTCAATCCCTGGTACCAAAAAATAAACGAACAAACAACAACAAAAAAACACTACTACATGCTGTTGTTCCAAAACAGGTTGACAGATAAAAGGCTCTCTTCAAGAGAGGATAAGTCAGCGAAAGCCTTAGAGAAACGAGGTCAGCAGGGCAACGTTACACTGGATGATGTTAAGTGTGAGTAGCTGTTCCCTCCTTCTTACACACTACCTGGTATGAACCTCTAAGGCAGCACTTTGTCTCTCTTTCAATTACCCATCTTCTCTCCTTTCAGTTGTTGCTTTGCTTTTGCTACAAGATACTGAGATGCAGAAGATCTGTTCTTTTACAACGTTTATGAGGTGTGTAATGCTTGCAAGACATTGTCTTTTCCCCTTTACTTTGCAGTAATTTCATCTGATAAGTGCTGATAGATCTGATTTTTAGAGAAACAGCAGGAAGCAGTTTCTATGTAAACCATCAACTCATCACTCAGTCACAAAGACTGAAATCAAAAAGTCTGGCAGAGGAATCCAAAAGTCACAGGAGCCCACAGGAAACCCCAACAAAGTCCCAAGGCAAGGAGTACAGAGTGCATGTTGCCAGAGTTCCATGCAGACTGCACTATATTTATATACCATTCACAGAATGTACCCATTTACTGTAGAATGTTTCTTGATTTTTCTAAACATCAGTTCCCTTAGCTACAAAATTAAGAATAGTGTCTCCTTTCTATGGCTGTCTGTGCCTGGGCTTCTCTTGGCATCTGCACATATGACTGGTCTATTAGAGTCGGGCACCCAATGCTATAGGCACTTCTCCTACATCCCCTCAGATTTCCAGTGCAGGTTGCTTGTGATGAATACCTGAGACTCTTCCCTCAGGTCTTGCTCCACTTCAGGGGCCCACTTGGCCCGAGCACTGACCTTGGCAAGCAGGACAACTCCTTAGAGTTGTTTTCTATATGATATTTTCTATACAACCTCCCAGAGCCCCTGCAGAACTGAATTATACTAGTTCACGGTGATAACACCCCATTCACTGGCTTCCTTCCTTTTCCTATTTCATTTCCACTCTCCATAGGATGTTTCCTAAGATCACGTCCTGCATTATCTGCTTACTCTCAGTTCTTTGCTTCAGGATCTTTTTCTGGGGAAACCCAAAGTTAGATAAGTAGTTATTAATATCTTGACAAAAAAATCTGTAATAGTCACCTTCATCCTGCTCTAAAGGTGCAGTTAAAAGAAAGCATGTCAGAGTAAGAATGTCCTTTGGGGGCTAGAAAGAAGGTAGTAAAAGTCTGATAAAAATATAAAGAAAACAATACCTTCTAATTGAAAAATGAGATAGCATTGTAAATCTGTGCATTCTTTTTGGAGAGCAAAACATGAAAATTTAATATGCTTGTGTACTGTGTTCTAACAATTTCACTTCTGTCTATAATATTTTAAAAAGACATCAATATCCTTCAACAGAAGACTAGTTAAGTAATTTAAGAGAGAATATTCAGCTGTTTAAAAGAATAAGGGACATCTATACATAGCATCATTGAAAGAGGTCCACACTACACATGTAAGTGACAAAAGCAAGTGGCAATAAATCATGTCTATAGAAAAAAAACACTTTAAGGCATATATTTATACATATGTATACATATTGGTGGGGGAGGATGTTATATGTAAACACCTATGCTTTAGAAGGTTTAGGAAGAATTCATTCCAAAGACTTAATAGCGGTCACCACGAGGGAGTAGGATAGAAGAGAGAATATTTTACTTTATACATTTCTGTACATTTTAAAAAAATATTTTAGTTCCCCACTTGAATCAAATGTATGAAATATGATATGTCAAGAGCATTGTAATGTTTTGAACAATAATAAAAAATATTTTAGTTGTACTTGGACACAATATCTTTATTTATTTTTATGTGGTGCTGAGGATCGAACCCAGTGCCTCACTCGTGTGAGGCAGGCTCTCTACCACTGAGCTACAGCCTCAGCCCCAATTTCTGTACATTTTTTAAACAATGGATATATATTACTTGTATGGTAAGAACTTCTTAAAAATTTAATTAATAAGCACAACTGTAAGAATTTAGTAGTCAGGCACAATGGAGCCTGTAATCCCAGGGACTTGGGAGGTAGAGGCAGGAGGATTGCAAGTTTGAGGCCAGTGTCAGCAAATTAGTGAGACCTGTCTCAAAATAAAAAATAAAAAAAAGGACTGGGAATGTAGCTGAATGGAAGAGCATCCCTGGGTTCAATTCCCAGTACAAAAGAAACAAAAAGAATTTAGTGTCTGACTTTCCAAAAATAAATCTTTTTTTTTATATAAAAAGTGAATTTCTTAACTTTCAGTAGTGTAATAGAATCTTAAATGGTAAGTAAATTAGTTGTGTGATAGGCATGTTAACATGTATTTCTACTCATGTCCTATGCCCAGATTTTTTATGAAAAACCTCATATTTGAAATAGGTTAGTGTTGATTTCTTTCTGTTTTCTAAATTTCTTCATAGAAATAAGACTCTTGACAATTTCCTCATGGCATTATTGTACTATTTATCTCATTACTTGGAAAAAAACTCGCTGGAAAAGAAGCCCCAAAGCTATATGGTGTAAGTAAGTTCTGTAAGTGCTTTTTATCATAGCCAGTTTAAAAGTAACTTTTATCTAAGGTGAAGAGATAATGGAATTTTAAAAATCTTTTGGGTGTACATGGGAGAATTTTTCCTGTTTTTAAAGCTCATTGAATAATGGGTATTCCGTACAACAAAATATTCCAACTAATAAAGAATAACAGTACCCAATAATGAGATTTAATGAAAGCCACATTAGTAATTTAAAAAATTTTAGTAACCATATTTTTAAAAGATGCAGGTTAAATTAGTTTTAAAAGTTATTTTATTTAACCCTATGAATGGAAAATATTATAACAAGTAGTCAATACTAGGAAGTGATTAATGAGATATTTTACTTTTTTTATGAAATAAGTCTTTGAAGCCTGGTGTCTTTTATACTTACAATATATCTCAATTGAAACTAGCCACATTAAATGCTCAACAGCCACATGTAGTTAGTAGCTACCATATCCAGTAGTGCAGAAATAGATTTATTTTGTTATGCTTTATATGCTAACAAAAGTTCTTGCTAAAGGGTTTGTAAGCATCTAATAAAAAAGTTAAGATTTTTTTTTTTTTTAAATAACAGATTTGGCCAAAATGACATCACAGGAAAAAACCCCAAACTTTCTTAGGCTACTTGTAAAGAACTTAATTGCTTTACACAGAGGTGGCTTAGAGATATACACCCAGGAGCAAGCTCTGGGAACTTGGAGTCCACAGCAGAACAATGCCTTGCAGACTTGGCCATGACCTTTCACAAGCATGGAACTTTCCAAGTGCCCAGCTGCCCTCCTCGTACATGTGGAACCAACCCAGTGACTTAGCTGTTAGGAATGTTGAATAGAGCCATTAACTTGCTACAGAGTATTTTGAAATGCAAAACTCCTGTATATAATCAAGCAGTTTGAAAAACATTTTATGGATAGAGAAATAGTTTCTGGATAGCAGTTTTGTAAAGGATCAAATAAATAATTCAAACACTGCTGCTACCGTAAAGCTATCATAATGTGCAATGTGGGTGTTGTTTCAGGGCAACCTTTCACAGTAAGACAGCCAGAGCATGCAGTGTTTCTATGGTAGCAAGCAAAAGGGCTAAAGCAAGTGTGAGCTTCGAAGGTACAAGGATTCTTACTATTCCCAAGTAGAAACTTATTAGACTTTGGTGGTATTTTGGCTTATTTTGTATGGTCTTTTCTAATTTTGAGGCTTATTGCTAATCTAGCAAATAAATTTGTTTTATATCTTAATTAACAGGTAACAGAAAAGAAAGATTCCTTAGTTATTTTTAAAATGCATGAAAACTCTTTAGAACATGGAGGTGTAAGACTGTTTCTTAGAAGGAATCAATTACAGAAATGAGCAAAAGCAAAGCCTTAAAATGATTGATTCTGGGGTTTGATTCTAAAAAAGCATTATAACCTTTCATTTTCAGGCTTTCCAGTAGTCAGTCCATTTACTTATTATTTAGAATTAAACATAGATTGCAATGTGATATCAGCACAGAAAAAAAATTGATTTCAGTCCAACTAGCATAGGGATAATGATAGTGCCTAATTCACAGTGTTGCACAGAAATAAACGAGATAGTGTCTTCTCTTAACCCAGTGGTCACACTTGGGAAGAAAGCTTGCATCCTGTGAGAGGAGGGCAGAAAGAAATGGAGAAAGATGTCAAAGATGCATTGTGTGTGTGGGGGGGGATTAAATGAACTCTAGAGAGGGCAAAGGGGAAAAGGGGAGGGTGTGGAAGGGAGTGGGCAGAGGGGTAGGAAAGATGGTGGAATGCGATGGTCATCATTACCCTAAGTACATGTATGAAGACACGAAGATTGTGACTCTACTTTTGTGTACAACCAGAGATATGAAAAATTGTGCTGTATATGGGTAATATGAATTGTATGTCTTTGGTTGTCATATATAACAAATTAAAATTTAAAAAATTTTTTAAAAATACAGCAAAGTAAATTGTGTAGCCAAGGGCAGGGGGAGATGCATTTAGATGATACTAGATGGTTAAAAGCCCTAATTCCAGAAAAAGAAAGCTATTCCCCATTTAAAGATGAAAACATTAAGGCTCAGAGAGGTGAAGTAATTTGTTGAAATGACATACCTACTAAGTAGTAGAGATGAGGCTAGAACCCAGGTCTAACTCAAAAGCCTGTGCTTAACCACACCCAGCACCTTCTATTGATCAACTATGGGTCTGTTTCCAGAGTTCATCCATTCAGAATCAAGATTTATAGCTCTGAACAAGACACAATTTTGCCTGAGTTTATAAACACTGTACCATAAACATTTTTCAAGTTATGATCTCCTTTATGATTTTTAATGGTGGCACAACTTTCCATAAAGTAAATGACTTGACTTTAGCTATTACGGGGTAATTTATTACAGTGGTTAAGGTTGCATATTTTGGTGCCTGGGTTAAATCTCATAGGTTTAATATGATCATTTCTGTGGCTCTTTAAATTTTTTTTTTTTTTTTTTTTTTTTTTTTTTTTTTTTGGTATAGGGGATTGAACTCAGGGGCACTCGACCACTGAGCCACATCCCCAACCCTTTTTTATATTTTATTTAGAGAAGGGTCTCACTGAGTTGCTTGATGCCTCGCTTTTGCTGGCTTTGAACTCGCTATCCTCCTGCCTCAGCCTCCTGAGCCACTGGGATTACAGATGTACACCACCACACTCCAGTTGAAATTCTTTTCAGATGTTTATTTCACAGCATTATGCTGATTTTTCTCTTACTGAAGCATCAATTTCAGCAAAATTTTTCTCTTACTGAAGCATCAATTTCAGCAAAATTTGTCATTCTTGTCATTTACTTTTTTTTTTTTTTTTAATAGTTCTGGGAATGGAACCCAGGGCCATGCTAGTCAAATGCTCTACCATTAAGCTGCACCCTGGCATTTTTAAAGAATATACTTGTTATTTCAGGTGAACTATTAATTTAGTGTTTATGGCTGTTTAAGGCAGTGCTTCAGAATGAAGTAAAAAGGCTGAAACATTATAGGGAATGGTTTTTCAGATATAGAATTTTTCTTTTTCTTTTCTTTCTTTCTTTTCTTTTCTTTTTTTTTTTTTTTTTTTTTTTGTACCAGGGATTGAACCCACGAGCACTTACCCACTGAACCAAATCCCCAGCCTTTTATTTTGAGGCAGGGTCTCACAAGGTTGCCCACAGCCTTGCTAAATTGCTGAGAGTAGCTTTGAACCTGAGATCCTGCTGCCTAAGCTTCCCAAACTGCTGGGATTACAGCAAAATAAGGCTATTAGCTTCTGGCAGCTTTGACAAAGGAAGGTTGAAGGTGCAGGAAGCAGGGAGACAGGCACTGTGATGTGGCCATTGGGGCTCATGTGGAGGGGTGTGTTTGGGTTACATGGCATTTGGACACTTAATATTGGAGCCTACTGGAAAAAGATACATTCATACATTGCTGGTGGGAATGCAGATTGGTGCAAAAATTATGAAAAGCAATATGGAGATTCCTCAGAAAACTTGGAATGAACACCATTTGACCCAGCTATCCCACTTCTTGGTTTATACCCAAAGGACTTAAAATCAGCTTATATAGTGATGCAGCCACATCATGTTTATAGCAGCTCAATTCACAATAGCTAAACTATGGAACCACCCAGATGCCCTTCAACAGATGAATAGATTTAAAAAAATGGAATATTACTCATCCTTAATAAAGATTGAAATTATGGCATTTGCAGGTAAATGGATGGAGCTTAATTCTAAGCAAAATAAGCTAGTCCCAAAAAACCAAGAGCCAAATGCTTTCTCTGATATGTGGATGCTAATCCATGATGGGGAGCAGCTAGAGAAGAATATAGTTACTTTAGGTAAAGGGGAGTGAAGAGAGAGGAGCGGGTATGGGGTTAGAAAGGATAATAGAACAAATCAGGCATTATTACCCTATGTTTGTATATAACTATATGACCAGTGTGATTCTACATCATGTACAATCAGAAGAATGAGAAATTATACTCCATTATATATGATGTATCAAAGTGCATTCTACTGTCATATATAACTAATTAAAACAAATTAAAAATAAAATTTAGGGCTGGGGATGTGGCTTAAGTGATAACGCGCTCTCCTGGCATGCGCCGGGCGCTGGGTTCGATCCTCAGCACCACATAAAAATAAAAATAAAGATGTTGTATCCACCGAAAAACTGAAAAATAAATATTAAAAAATTCTCTCTCTCTCTTAAAAAATAAAATAAAATTTAAAAAGTTGGAGCCCACTTTATCTATTCAAGAAACTCATTTTATTCTAGTGATTTCCAAGCCTTTTATCATGTGTAATAATGTTTTGTGCTCTGAAACAGCCATATTATCCTTAAAGTCACCATTTCCCCTCACAGCATATATTCATCTAGTCATTGTAGTGGTTAACCTCAGAAGGGATAGTAATTTGTTTTTGTTTACTGTGCATTTCATTTGGTATCTAGTGATTAACAGTGCACTGGAATGTATTGTCAAGAATATAGTTCCCTATTGTGCTGCAAAAAAAATTTAAAATTAGGATTCAGACATGTTGCAACCTAAGAAAAGACTGTCTTTTACAAAGATCATTTGCAATTCAGTTGGAGCTGGGGCTGTGTTTTCACAGGGAAGCAATGTTATTATAATTGACACCCAAGTTCCCAGAATAGTAGACCACAAATGCCTCTTTAGCAACACACCTAAACTCAGAACTGAGAGTGGCCCAGTGCTGTACTTGAAGCCTCCAAGCTTAATAGAAACACCAGGAACGGGGAAAGCTGAGGTGACAAGGAGTCTCTACAGCAGCTTTGAGAACACAGTAGAAAGAAAGGCTGCCAGCTGCCTCAGCAACCAGTATGGGTCACTTGTTAGTTGAGCTGTTCTATAGATATTAGGACTAGCTGTATATAAAATTGAGGCTCCATAGATAGCAAAAAGAATCTATCTATAAACAAGTGAAAATTGACCATAAACTTTGAGTTGCTGATTCTAGTGATTAATAATGATTTAAGGGACTTTGAGGATTTTCCTATGTCATGGCTCAAATAAAACAAATGAATTGGTAAGTCAGGTGTGTTGACTCACTAGTATATCTTTCAAAAAAGTTTATAATTCAGACTTTAAAAATGCTAATTAATAGGCATTTACTCAAATTAATCCATATTGTCTTTTTCTTCCCTCTAGGGGCCTTGTAGAGAAAAAAGAGATGGAGCTGGTTTTAAGTAAGTTAGAAGCAGCACAGAAATATTTGGCTCAGAAGTACTGTGTCCTTGTGCTGGGGTTGGGCATGCCTTATAAGCATCACATGTGCTGTGGAAAGTAAGTGTGCACTCCAGATGCCATTAGATCGTGACATCCTTAGGACCCTTGCATTTGACTTCTGGTACTGGGGGGAAAAGCATTTCCTTTTTGTTGTCCAGAATAATTGGGCTCAGGTAAAATCTGCCCCAAGCACTGGGGGTTGTCTGCTTTGAGAGAGCCAAGTGAGTATGGAAGACATCCCAGAATCTCAGTTAATATCTATTTATTTAGGTACAGAATTGAACATAAGGGTGTTTTACCACTGAGTTGCATCCCCAGCCCTTTGTTTTTTATTTTGAGACAGGGTCTCGCTAAATTCCCGAAGGCTGGCCTCGATTTGCCATGCTTCTGCCTGAGGCTCCAGAGTTACTGAGATTATAGGTGTGTGCCATGACACCCGGCTCAGCTGATATTTAAAAATTCTCCCCTGCTTGTGATTAAATGACTTGATTTCTCAGTGGAATCTTGCTCTCAACCAGGAGGGATTCCTATGCTAGGCAGGGCTACTGGTGGCCTCTAGTATATACCGAGTGATAGACCAATGTTGGTGGGGGATGGAATGTCTGCTTGTTTTGCAACTGCCAGGAAGAGCTGCAGAGGTAGGGGTTATAAAATAACACTGTCTATGGAATACAATTTTTGTCTTAGGATGATAATGTTTGCATAATTGTAATTGAAATTTAAAAAGGGGTCTCATCACCAGAAAGTTGGAGATCACCGGAAGAAAAACTTTGATCCTTAACCCCAAATCTCCCCCTGAACAGTTTCATGACAAGCCCAAGAGCCATGCCATGGCCATAGCCAGAACTTAAAAAAAAAACCCTCAATAGGAAAAGAACACAATACATGATATACCTCTCTCTAAATCCCCCATGTTTTCAAAGATATCTTTGTCCATGAACATACTTACCCAGTTGTTCCTATGTATTTTTTGTGTTCTACATTTCCTGTGTGCTCTCCTCTCTTATTCTGCATACATAATTTCACTTATCACTTTCCATAGCAGCTGGAGTTATCCTGTTGTATACCCATTGCTTAACCATCCCTTTTGTAAACATTTACATGGTTTCAGTTTTTCTGTTTTATTGTAGTTTGTATTGCTTTACATAAATTATTTTGTTCATATGGACTATTTCCTTATGGCTTATTACCCAGAATGTATTTACCTATAGGGTACAAACAATTGTTAAAAAGCTCTTCATAATATATTGCCAGATTGTGCTCCAAAAAGGTTCATTCCAGAGGTAGTGGTATGTGCTGATAGTCCCAGCATTTGGGAGGCTGAGGCAGGAAGATCACTGGAGCCCAAGAGTTTGAGGCCAGTCTGGACAACATAGGGAGACCCCTTCACCAACCAACCAACCAAGACCAACCAACTGAAAAGAATCCAGAGCCCTCCACAGACCTCCTGCATGGGAGGCTGGGAAAAGTGATTTCAAAAAAATTAAAACCTTTTTTATTGCCCTCAGCAATAAGCATATTTGGTTGTGTTGTGTTTTATTATTTTAATATTTTTGATAGTTTAAAGGTATATTAAAAGCTTAAAGATGTTTTACATGAATGAATATTTTTCAGGCTTTTAGAGTCTCTGCTCTTTTTCTTTTTAAAATTATTCACTGCCTACTCATTTAGTTTCAACCATTTACCAAGGGGGAATTGGAAAAGTTTTTAATTTCTTTATTTACATCCTATACCAAGGATTGATCATTTGTATTTTTTAGTTTGTTGCTTTCTTTTGAATATTTATATGTTTAAACATTAGAAAAATGTTTTGTATTTATTCAAACATGTCCACCTTGTTTCTGATATTTGATAGTCATACAAGTTCTTGTGGTTCTTGAGTTAAACTTATTATCTTTCTTTTTAATTTTTTAAAATTAGCATTTTAAAGAAATGTGACTTTGCTCCATTTGAAATCTGTTACAACATATCAGATGAACTATGAATATAAGCTTTTTATTTTTTTAACTAATATCAAACTTTCTAGTAATATCTATTAATGATTTTTTTCTCCACAGTAACATGTCTTGTTAGATTTTGAATTTTTCTAACATTTTAACCCAATTTGGTAAATTCCTATTGATTTTTTCCCCCCAGTACTGGGAATTGAGTCAGGGCTACTCTATCTTTGAGTACATTCCCAGCCCTTTTATTTTTTTGATATAGTGTCTTATAGTTTATATAATCTTATATAGTTTCCCTGTCTGACTCTGAACTTTTGATCCTCTTGCCTCAGCCTTCCAAGTAGGTGGGATTATAGGCATGGACCAACACATCTGGCTTGCAGTCATTATTTCTTTCTGTATCTTTTAAAAGTATAGATAGTCCTTACACATTCGGCTTTCCACAGCCTGCTTTTCCTTATGGTAATGCTCCTAAACCAATTTGTTTTTAAAATTACAAGTCATAGCATATTGGTAGATCTTGAAATCAATGTAGTTGTGAAGAGAATAAAATAGTTTTAAAAAATAAGTATATCTGGTGTGAAAGTAATAAATAGAAATCCATAGTCCAGGGATACTTCAATAAACAACTGAAAAAAAAATAAGTATATCTGGGGCTGGAGTTGTGGCTCAGTGGTAGAGCACTTGCCTGGCATGTGTAAGGCCCTGGGTTCAATCCTTAGCACCACATATAAATAAATAAATAAAGTAAAAAAATCCATTGACAACTAAAAATTTTTTTTTAATTTTTTTTTAAAATCAAGTATATCATATGAAATAAAGATAAGTATTTTTTTCAGGATACTTTTGTGTCTATGTCTTAGTATGTTTTGAGTTGCTTTAACAAAATACTTGAGGCTGGGTTCTCTATTATTATTCTCTAAATAACAGAGGTTTAATGAGCTCATAGAACTGGTGTCCAAGAGCATGGTACCAAGCTTCACTTTTGGTAAGGACCTCATGGCAGATAGCATCAAAGGTGGGAAGTGGAGAGAGAGTGAAGATAGAGAAGACAGAGGAGTCAGATGTTGGGATTCAGTGTACAAGATAGATCATATGGTGGGAAAGGAAACAAGAAATCAGGGAGAAAGCAGGCTTGCTCTTTCCCCCCCCCCTAATACTAGAGATTGAACCCAGAGTGTTCTGCTACTGAATCACATCTCAGCCCTTTTTATTTTTTGAGACAGAATCTTGCCAATTTGCCAAGACTGGTCTCAAACTTGTGATCCTCTGGACTTAGCCTCCCAAGTCCCAGGTATTACATGCATGTGCCACTGTGCCTGGCCAGGCTGTCTCTTTAACAACCTGCTATGAAACTAATCCACTTCTATGAGACCCAACCCAACTCTCCATAATACCAGCATCAATCCCTTGTAGTGGTGACTGCCATCTTCCACTAGGTCTCACCTCTTAAAGGTCCCACTCCCTTTCAATACTGTCACCTTGGGTAAGTAAGCCTCAGCTTATATTTCAGCAAGGACAAACCAGATTCACACCATAGCAGTCAATGTGTGTATTCTAGGGACTCAATATTAAGTATGTTTCTTGCTGTGAGTTACAATTTAAAGAGTCTGAAAGCCACTGCGTTACAGCATCCTTTCTGTACCACAAGCACTCTTGTGTTTTCATAAGAATTTTGCTTTGCTCAGCCTTTCAAGCAATTATACCATAGTGTTGTTTGTCAGCTAATTGTTCAATTTAGACAGTTGTGTTAATTTGTTGGGCCATTTGAATACACTATTGAATTTCCCCTATATTTTAGAAAAAGATAAGTGGAACATTGGAAAATCAAGTACTGCTAATTCAAATCTAGAAACCATTGAGCATGTGGAGAATCTTTAGCTGCATTCAAATGCTCGAGACTAAAGTAGAACAAATGTGGGTTTGATTGCAAAAGACAAGACCTTGCACATGCTAGTCAAGTGCTCTACCACTGAATCATATCTTCAGCCCTTTTTTGTTTTTTATTTTGAGATAGGGTCTTGCTAAGATGACCAGATTGGCCTCGAACTTGGGATCTTCCTGCCTCAGCCTCTGAATACCTTGGATGACAAGTGTGTGCCACTGCTCCCAGCTACAATCTTTTCCATGTGTGTGTGTGTGTGTTTTTTTTTTTTTTTTTTTTTTTTTTGGTGCAGTAAAATTATATACAATAGTGGGTTCATTGTTACATATTTGTATATGCACCTGATATAACAATATAATTTGGTCATTATTGTCCTCCAATATTTCCCCTTTCCCCCTCCTCCTTTTTCCTTCTTACAATACAATTTTTAAAGGAAACTATGATGTTTGAAAGTAGGTGATTGCCTCTGGTTAGCACAAGGTCCTGGTCCCTTTTCCACCATCTGCAGTATCACTTGCTTTTCTTCTGCCCATTGGATGGCAGTTTGGAGAAGAACAGGCTTAGAGCTCACCATGCACCATTTATGTATCAAATTCCATACATGTCAAAGGACTGACATGTATGGAACAAAGGACTTAGAGGAAAGCAGATTGCAGGATAGTTCTGCCAGTGAGTTGTTAATGGCCATAATGGATGTTGATTATGTCCTTGATTCGTGGATTTATAGTATTCTTTTGGTGGGCTTGATTATGTCCTTGATTCATGGATTTATAGTATTCTTTTGGTGGGCTTTTTTTTTTTTTTTTTTGCACTGGGGATTGAACTCAGGGACACTTAACTATTGAACCACATCCCTAGCCCTTTTTTTTTTTTTTTTTTTGTATTTTATTTAGAGACAGAGTCTCACTGAGTTGCTTGGGACCTTGCAAAGTTGCTGAGGCTGGCTTTGAACTCACAATCCTCCTGCCTCAGCTTCCTGAGCCACTGGTATTATAGGCCTGTGCCACCGTGCCTGGCATTGGTGGGTTTTATGTAGAAAATGAGGACAGTGATTTTTTCAGTTATAAGTAATTAGCTGATTTTAACATGTCTTTATTTCACTTTAATTTGAATAAGCTAATATTTTCATGTGGGTTTTCTGATTTTTCCCTCTAACACATGCATGGCTAATATTGGACTAGAATACCTCATGCCATTTATCTCTGGAGTTAGAGTGAAGATTATAGTAGAACCAATAATTTGGGGCTGTTAATCTAGTGCTTTCATGTCACTTGAGAAGTAAGAGAAGATGCTTCTCTATACCAAACACATCTGTGAAAATCCAGTATCACATAAATCAGCAAAATTTTGATGAATGTGTTCAGTAAAATTTATCTGGGTGTTGGAAATACATGCAAAAGCCTCCTTTTTGGTGTAAACTATAGACTTAGATCTGTTCTTTGGTTGTAGCTAGTACAGGCTTCATCCTCACCCCCATCCTAGGATATGAACCTTCTTCCTACACTCTCAGTGTGGCTGTCTCCTCATGGTGGACCAAAGAGGCTGGTGGTGGAGGTAAAGATAGAGAGAAAAGTAGGCTCTTTGAAACGCAGGTGTAAACATCATCTTTTTAAAAATTTTTGAGGTGGTGGGTGTGACTATATTGCCCAAATTGGTCTTAAATTCCTGGGCTCAAATTATCCTCCTGCCTCAGCCTTCCAAATAGCTGGGAGGACAGATGCATGCCAGAACACACAGCTCTAAATCACTCTTAAACCTGCCTCCCAGCTCAGTCACATGCATTAAGGACTCTTTCCCCTCTCCACCAACACATCTTTGAAACTTCTTTTTCCTTGTATAGGGCAGAATTTGACCTTCATTTAGTTTAGATCTTGAATGTCTCTCAAAGACTCATGAGTTAAAGGCTTGGTCCCCAGGATGGGAAGTGGCAGAGGCTTGAAGAGGTGGAGCTTAATGAGAAATCCTTAGGTCATTATGGTTGTGCCCTTGAAAGGGATTGTGGGGCCCTGGCCCCTTCTTCCTCTGCTCTCTGGTTCATGAGGTGAGTGAGTGATTTTGCTACAACATGTGCTTTGGCCATGATGTGCTACCTTGTTGCAGAACCAAAGCAATAGACCAGCTGATGATGGACTGAAGCCTCCAACACTATGGACCAAACTGAACCTTCTCTCTCTCTCTCTCTTTTTTTTTTTTTTTTTTTTTGAGAGAGAGAAAACCTTTTTTTTTTTTTTGTAGAGGGACATAACAGAATGACTTTATTTTTATGTGGTACTGAGAATCAAACCCAGGTCCCGCGCACACTAGACGAGCGCTCTACTGCTGAGCCACAATCCCAGCCCCATGAACCTTTTCTCTTATAAGTTAACTCTCTTGGGAATTTTGTTATGGTGATGGAAACTTACCAACACACTTGATTTCACCTAAAGCCATAGTGGGCAAATGGGAAAACACAATTTTTTCTTTTCCCCAGCCTAGAGCCTAGGTTCAAACCTTGGCTCTAGGCTTTATATCCTTTCACAATAACTAATAATATACTTTCTTCATTTTGATTTAGAGCTAACAATCTAAAGTAGCAACAAGGAATAAGAAAGAATCTTAATAGGCCACTGCAAAAAAAAAAAATCTCTGGATTTACCATCAGGTCACCTTTCCCTTCTTTCCTTTGGATTGTGTCCTCAAAGGTGGATTATACAGTGCTCTTGCAGACCAGCATGGTAGCCACTTGCCATATGTGGTTACCGAGCATTTGAAATGTAGCTTCAAATTGAGAGATGCTATAAGTGTTAAATATATGCAGTATATAAAATATGTACAAAAAGCTTTAAGGTAAATAAAATACCTTATCAATTTAAAATATTGAGTATATATTGAAATGATATTCCAGGAATTTGGATAAAATAAGTATATTGTTAAAATTAACATCACCATTTTATTTATTTATTTTTTTATTTTGCAGTGCGGGGGATCAAACCTAGGGCTTTGTGCTTGCTAAGCAAGTGAGCTATACCCCCAGCTCCACCTGTTTGTTTGTTTGTTTTTTACCATGGCTGCTAGAAATTTTAAAATTATATTTATGGCTTACCTTATGTTACTATTGGATTGTGCTATTACAAACCTTGTTTAATTTTGCAGGTGATTTTGGCAGAGGAGGAGGTGTCTTACATTCTTTTAATCAAAAAATTTCTAAATGATTTTAGGTTCTATGTACTTAATATAGAAATTATAAAATACAAAAAAAAGAGAAAATGATCCACAGTTCACCAGCAACAGATGAATTTACAGAGATTTAACTGTGAGATCCCAAACAGTGCCCCTGCCGCACATCCATTTCCTGGACTCATTTCAGTTTCCCTCACAGAGATAAATCAGAATGGCAAGACCCAGTCTTCCATTCTTCATTTCCCAGGTGTGGGCCACATCAGTTTGCTTTAGGCTTTAAGAGAGATAAGAGTTCAGGTATTTATACCAATTTGAAGGACAGTGAAGGACGTTCATGTTACCTTTCCTTCTAAACTAAAAAATGAAAGAGAGAGAGAGTGGGAGAATGTGTGTTTCATGGACATCACTCTCTAATTTCAAAACCTTGCCAAGATGCTGTCTCTCTAAACTTTTCTCCCAGAACATAAGCTGACTCATTATTCCAAAAACAGTTTGTTTGGTTTTCTGCTTCAGCTTGGCAGGTCTGCATGGGCTCTAGTTTCAATCTGGTAGAGGTATGAAAGGGCAGAAATTCTTCAGGTGAGGCCTGAATAAACCAAAGAAACATGGAAGCTTTCTTTCCCTGAAAAGTTTCTGCTGGACTCTGTTGTTCAATATTTTTATCTGCAAACTATTCTAAAGAAAAAGCCATTTCCCAAGCATTCTGGTTATGAGGACAGATGTATATATCTTACAGACATGAATTTTAGCACAAGATCTGTCCCTACTTAAACATATATATTTGGTTTTTAGTCTCAACTTTAGTTTTTTTTTAGTTGTAAGTGGGAATAATAGTGCTGACTACTTCATATGGGTATTATGAAGACTAAATATGGTAATCAATATAAAGGTTTCAGCATGGTATCTGGCACATAGTCTGCACTTAATGTAATTATTGTTGCCTTAATTTTGTGTTGAAGACTTGTACATGAGGAATCCAATATACAAAGAAGCAGGTAGGACAAGAGCTGTAAAAGATGAGCCAGCTCTTTGGGCTCATGCCCCAGTGGAAGGCCGCTTTGGGCCAGTAAAAACCAAAGTCCCTGGAAGAAGGATGGAGATCCTGAGGATTGGAATTATCTTCCCTAGACTTTCCAGGATGGTTCTGGAAAGCCTGGTCCCAGGACCAATCCTAGAATCCTAGGAATCACAGTTACTCCAAGGAAGGCACAAGAAAAAGCAGAAGTGAAACCAACTTCAACCTTGGAGCACCCTGGGTCTGACCTCCTTCCCAATGACTGATGGAGTGACTGCAGGTACACAGCCCCCACAGTCAACTCTCAAGAACTCTTCAGGACATGCCTGCTTCCCTAAAGCTGAAAGTCAAAATCAAAACAACCCATGTAGGATGCAAGGTCAGGTTTACTAAGCATGCTCATCCCAGTACAATAGCCTTAACAATGAATTTGTGTTGCAAGGACTGCTGGGCAAATATCTGCCTTTAAGAGTAAGGCTCAGGTCTGGGTGTGTGGTTTAGCAAGAGAGAAAAAGCTCCAGGCTCCTTAATGTCAGATGTTACTCAGAAGAAGGAGGAGCACAATATAGTTCTTAGTCTGTTGATTGTGTGGTGTTGATTTTATTAATTTTGTTTCTGTTTCTTTTTTGTATCCAATAGCCAAAACCTTTGTTTTTCTTCATTCTATACTTACCCTCTAGTTCTGTGCAACCGCATCTATTTATCACTTCACATAACCTGTTTACCACCTTCCCACTCTCCTCATGTCCCCAACACATCACCAGAAGCACATCACCAGAAGCATTTGAAAATATACAATTTCTCTTTGGTTTGTTTATTTTGAATTTATGTTGGCTTTTTTTTTCCTTTTGGGTATTGGGGATTGAACCCAAGGGCACTTTACCACTGAATCACATTCCCAACTCTTTTTTATTTTGAGACAGGGTTTTGCTAAGTTGCTTAGGGCCTTGCTGAGTTGCTGAGGCTGGGTTTGAACTTGCCATCTTCCTGCTTCAGCCTCTGGAGCTACTGGTATTGAAGGCATGCACCACCGTGCCTGGTGATTTTGGTTAATTTTTGCCCAAACACTCCAGAGGTTTTGACCTGGGTCACCTAGGAAGTTGAATAGAAGGCATTTGTATTCTCTTTGCCTTTTGCTAGCATTCATGTAGCTAATTGTCTTGGAGCCACAGGTCATGAGCCTACATTTTGGGAAAGATAAGAGCTAGAATATTAAAGATTAAACTTCCCTCTCAGCCTATTGTTATAATGTGCTATGTTGCAGGGAGAAAATGTCAGACACACAAAAAGACTGGAAATTCTTCGAGGTGAGTCACATTTTAGGGATTTTCTTTGTGCTGTGATACATAGTGCATAGCAATGATGAATAGTCATTTCTTAGGCACTTATTTTGGTGAATATTCTTTCTTAAAAAAATGCTAACAAGCCACATAGTACACCTTAGGATTTTGGTCTGATTTTCCTCCCATGAAAGTGAGTACATGTCCAATTTTTCATGGCTTTCCAGGGATATTGAGAAATTGGGTCATCTACTTTGCAATGTTATATGAACAGTTGAGAGTTTTTCTTATCATTTCTGAAAGTCATGATTCTTATCTGTTTTTTGTCATAGTCCTTATTCACTTTCTGTACATACGTAGCATGGATTGTCTTCCAACGTCAACACTTGACAGAGATCGAGGAAGAAATAGGAAGGCTCTTCCGCTCCAATATGTTCAATATTCCTCGAAGGAAACGGGAGGATGAAGAATCAGGAGGGGAGAAGAAACGCATGACTTTTGTACAATTCAGGTTTGATCTCTTTTGTAAACTTGAGGCTGTTTCTAGACAGCTGGATAAGGTGATCTAAATGGCATCTTTCTTCTCCCACAGGCGAATGATGGCAAAACGCCCAGCCATTAAAAAAGCCATTAACATGCGTTCTCCAGTACTGTCTACTCTGCTGCCATCTCTCAGAGAAAAAGCTCAGAATATCGTTGAGAAAAAGTATCATCTAGTAGGCATCAAACTCCCAGGCCAGGTGCAAAAACACATGCAAAGTCTGGACTCTGTGCCCATGTCAGTGTAAGTGACTCAGGAGGGAGGCCAGATAGCCTGAGGGTTGGACCTGGAAAGGGCAGGGGCTCAGCACCATCCATGCCTCTGCCAGAGAATTGAATGAAGACAAGGCATCTGTGTTTCCATGAATCCCCTGCTCCTGGCTGTCTGTTTCCTGTCCAGAGCAATTCTAGTTATATCCATTGAGATTAGAAAAAAATCATTAGAAAGTTATGCTAGACTCCAAATAGTTCTAACTTGGAGAAGTAAGTAACAGATTCTTTAAGGCTGATGTTTATGTATTGTAAGAATCATCTTTGGAAAATTTAGGAAGGGTCAATACAAAATCTTGCTGTGGATTGAGTTTTGGATTCATATGTCAGACCACAGTGGTTATTCATGAAATAGAGACAACTTTCAAAAAAGTGTGTGTGTGTGTGTGTGTGTGTGTGTGTCTGTCTGTCTGTCTGTCTGTCTTAGTTTTAGTATACTACCTCAGCTATACCAACAATTCTTTTTACAGAGTTGGCATTTTGGGGGAGCCACGATGTCTGTTCAACCCTCATACCCTTCTCCCCCTTGAACCAAAAGAAAATGCAAAATCATCTAAAAGACTTCCATCCCTGGGAGAGAGAAATAACATCCAGATTCAGGACGCACTGGAGTCATGAAAACATTGTCTTCTTAAATATGCCCTAAATAATCTGGTATATTTCACTTCTGTAATCAAGTCCCAGCACTTGAGGTAAACTACTTCAGCTTAATTGCTTGACATAGGATCAATATGTGTGTTATTATTATTAAACTTTTTAAGTTATTCAAGTTAATTTTGTTTGTACAAGTTATTTTGTTAAAAGTTCAATAGACTATTAAATAATTCCAGAAATCTCTTGAAAGTTCATTTTCTTATTTTTATTAGTTTATTTTGTTACTTTCTTGCTTCCTCTACTTCAGTGTGACTCTTCAAGAGTATTAGGCCACTTAGCTAGTATTTTAGTTGACTGGTGAAGAAGCATTCATTTCTAAATCCAACTTTGCCTTATGAAAAAGCATCTTTGGTATGTGTGTAAATAAAATTTCAGAAACAAAAAAGGCAAATTAAAAATTTAACACTAAGCCAGGCATGATGGAGCACCCCCTCTAATCCCAGCAACTCTGGAGGCTGAGGCAGGAGGATTACAAGTTCAGTTCAAGGCCAGCCTGGGAAACTTAGCAAGACCCTGCCTCAAAATAAAAATCAAAAGGGTTGGGGATGTAGTTTAGAGGTAAAGTGCCCCTGAGTACTATCCCATACATGCACACCCCCCCCCCCCCAAAAAAAAAGTTTAACTAGTACCTAGGTGGCACCTGGTATTGTAGAGATGATTGACATGCTGTCTTCATTCAGGTTTCTCCCTGAGCAGGGCAAGGAAAAGAAGGCTAGAAGTCAGATATAAAGAGAAACAGTGTGACTCAGCTTAAAGGAGAGAGGTTTTCAAGTTGGGGATGGAGGGATGGATATGGAGATGGATCTTGAAGTTGTGTGGAGCCTGAACAGGCAGCTATGGGTGGAAGATACCAGGGCTCAGACCTGAAAACCTCATGGCCAGGCCTTGTTTAGTGGAGGTGAGCTATGGGGTTGGTGGGGGTAGTAAGCACTTAGGAAAGATGGAGCTATTTTATTGCTTAAGCTTTTGTCAGTGGCTGCAGAACTGTCTTCTAGTTTGGCCATCGTCTTAAGGCCACCTACTCCCTGGTTCTGCTTCTGATGCCTACCTGTGTCAACATTTCTGTCTTTGCATTTATTTTGGGCTTCAATTCCATCATAGATACAAACCATTCCTGTTTAGGACTTAACATGTGGCATTCTGATCTCCGCTAATCTCCATACCAAGAAAGAAAAGTAGATTTGACTCCTCCATTCATGGACCTCCCTCTAAACAAGTTTTAGGTTGCAAAAGAAAGTTTCTGGGGCTGAGAGCCCAGTGAACTCCCCCCTTGTTTTATTGACAGGCTGTTGTGCTTCCATCTCCAGAGCAGTCTGATTGGCAGTAGGTTCAAAAAGTTGTTCTGTGTCCAGAGTTTGCTACTAGCATGCTCTCTCTCTCTCTCTCTCTCTCTCTCTCTCTCTCTCTCTCTCTCTGGATAATGTCTAAGGCAGTCTAGGTGATCCATGCCAAAGGGCTTGGTATGGCAGATCACTTCTTTTGCAAATAATCTCCCTTTTCTTCTTTAGGCAAAGATTCATTCTCATTTCCTTTACTTCTCCTAACTCAAACCCAGAGGCCTAAGCAGAGCAAAAGAAAAATGCGCTGGGTCTTAGAACCTCAGTCAGGTCACTCTGAAACCCAGCATAATGGTGGGTGGCAACTCGAGACGAGGACCTTTGTAGAGGTGTTACCTCTCCCACCTCCACTGCCTAGTTTGAGAACATTGACACTATTTAGAATCAAATTCTTTCCAGAATCAAATTTTTTCCAGGCCTAGTGGTACACACATGTAATTCCAGTGATTCAGGAAGCTGAGACAGGGGGATCACCAGTTCAAGGTCAGCCTGAACAACTTAGCAAGACCTTGTCTCAAAATAAAATCTAATAAAGGACTATGAACATAGCTCAGTGGTAGAGCACCCTTGGGTAAAGTGCCCAGTAAAAAAATATTAAACAATTGGAAAAATAAACTAGATTATATGATTTCACTCTTTATCTATAGAATTTGCAAAGATTGAAAGAAATAATGACCAACAATGGCAAGTGGGTGGGTAAACAGGCACTCTCACACATGAATGAGGGAGTGGCAGTATGCTCTGATGTGACCCTTCTGAAGGAAATTTGGCAGTAACATATTTTACCTTTCAAGCATATTTGTGTATTCATTTAGGGCTAGTTCAAACATCTGGCTTGTTCATGTTGATCTCTGAAGATGTCCATTATTGATTTACCACTCATTGAGAGGTGGAAATGTATCATTCTATTCAGCCCAGTAACCAAATAAGCACTTTAAAAGTTCTTTTTAGAATGATTAGAACAATGATAAAGTAAATATTCTGTTACCTTATAAGAAGTAATTTATTGATAACCTACTCAGTGCTCAGTACCTTGCTAGGTTTATGAGACACTTAAGGAGTATAAGGTGGAGGGGTTGGGGTTGTGGCTCAGTGGTATAGCGCTCACTGAGCATGTGCAGGGTACTGGGTTCGATCCTCAGCACCACATAAAAATAAAATAAAGGTATTATGACCAACTACAACTAAAAAAACAAAACCAAAAAAAAAAAAGAAGAAGAAGAATAAGTATAAGGTGGGTGTGTTAGTCAGTTTTTCATTACTGTGACAAAACACCTTATAAAATCAACTTAAAGAAGGAAAGATTTATTTTGGCTCAAGATTTCAAAGGTTTTAGTCCATAGTCACTAGGCTCTATTGTTTCTGGACCTGTGGCGAAGCAGAACATCATGATGGGGAGCACATGGTATAGCAAAACTATACCTCATGGCTGATGGGAAGCAGAGAGGGGGAACAGGGACAGATCATACCCTTCAAAGGCACAGTCCTAGTGACTTACTCCATCTAGGTCCCACCTCCTACAGTTTCTACCACCTCCCAATAGCCCCTTAGCTCTCAGTCCATAAATGGATTAGTCCATTAACGAGGTTACAGCCCTTATGATCCAATGACCTCCCAAAGGTCACCTCTGAACCCATGCACTGGGGACCAAGCCTTCAACACATGAGCTTTTGCAGGACATTTCAGATCTAAACCATATCAAGAGGGTTCCAGCCTTCAGAGCTGAACTAGGAAGTCAAGAGCAAACCTCTGTGACAGAACGGGAGAGCAAGCGGGTAAGGCTAACTTGTGAAGTGGAGACTCGGACCAAGCAGCTGGCCAACTCGAAATCACCCCCTCAGAAATGATGAGGACACGAGAGGGGAATGCACATCTCTTTTCCATCAGTCATTCCCCCTCCTCCTGCACCAGTGCTTTGATAAAAACAGCACAGCTGTTCTTCTGAGCTTCTCTTTTCCTTGGCTCTTTCTACCCAACAAATGACAGGTAGTAATTTCCCTTTCCAGCTGTACAGTGCAACCCAAATAGTGGATGAGGGACAATTTTTCTCTGCAGAACTATTTCAGGAAATAAATTGAAAGGAAATGATAGGGCTGGGGTTGTGGCTTAGTGGTAGAGCACTTGCCTAGCATGTGTGAGGCATGAGGTTCCATCCTCAGCACCCCAAAAAATAGATAAATAAAATACATATTATATATATGTATATAAATAAAATACAGGTATTGTGTGTCCATCAACAACTAAAAAACATTAACAAAGGGATAGAGCTAGAATATTATCATCATTTTGTAAATCATAAATGGAATAATGGATCAGGCAATGATCGCCAGTAGCAGGTGACATCCTAAGAGACACCTGGGCATCATGTAGGGAGTCTACAACATTTCCTCTAAAGAAGTCCCTCCAAAAAATTAAAACTGCATAGAACAGAGTCTCTAAGCCTAATAGCCAGTCTAGGAAACCCAAGAAAGGAGGAAAATGCTACATAGCACTGCAGGCATGCAGTTGGAAAATTTTTAAAAGGGAGGAGTCTACAGAAAAAGTGGCCTGGTTTCCACAACAAATAATAAAGGGTGAATCTTTAAGTGAGAAAAGTAGACTTAAGGGATATATTAGTCAAATACATTGTGGACCTTGTTTGGATCCTAATTTGAACAAACTAATAATTGTTTTATGATATATATGTAATACATATCATATATAATGTATGTGATACAATCAGGGAAATTTAATACTGGGAGGATATTTGATATTAAGGAATTATTGGTAAATTTTTTAGGTATAATAATGTCATTGTGGTTTTCTAAGCTTTTGCTCTTTGTTAAAAAAAAAAATAGAGGCAAAGACTTAAATATTTACAGTTGCAGGGGGAGCAGAAGTGGAAAGGAGACTGGGAGATAAAAACGAGTAGGTATCAGCTCTCCATGAACTACCAGGATGTGATTGGTGAGAATTGCACCCTCCCCAGTTTTTTTTTCAAAATTTTTTTAGTTGTTGATGGACACAATACCTTTATTTTGTTTTTATTTTTATGTGCTGTCAGGAATCGAACCCAGTACCTCATGCATGCTAGGCAAGCGCTCTACTACTGAGCCACAACGCCAGCCCCCCCAATTATTCTTTTGCTTTGCAACAAGCACAGACCAAAGCATGCATGAAAAGTTTGAGGAAAAAAAAAGATTCCCTCAAAAAAAAGAAAATCACAAAATGCACAAATCCTATAGATGGGTAACTGCTCCAATCAACTTCAGCCCCTGCCAGCAGCTGGCTTGAGGCCCGGGTGGAAGTGCAGTGGATTTCCAGGTGTGCTCTTTTGTATTGCTTCTCCCAGCCTCTGACTGTACAAATGTGCTGTTGCTTCCCTTGGGGTAATTATCTCCTCCCCCACACTCACCATCTCTCTTCTCACACCTCCTTTAATATGTGCCGACAGTCACACACTGATGCAGACACAAAGGCAGCATCTGCTTGAGAATCCAAGAGTCTTGTGTCATTTCACACCAAGAATCAAGGGGGGAGGAGCGCTAAGTGTCATCCCAGGACTCCCGTGGTAACATGTTCCCATTAAAGGCCTATTGCTTGGATTTTTAGAACTAGACAATTCCCCCACCCCCATGACTTCTTACAGCAAACCAGGAAGAGTGCTGGTGATGGATGCTAACTTTTCAAATCAGAACTCTGAGGAACAGAGTTATCGCTACCAGTCTAGAATTACAAGTTTGTCTTACTAAATTATTGGTTTACTGATTCACAAAGAAATATTTATATAGTACACCTGCTATGCTATGACCTCCAAATTCTCCCATGATGAGGCAGATGTCGTCCGTGTCTTTCTGGATGAATGAGGAGCAG